GCCGAAGCAATTTATGTAAACGACCACTGTTATCCATGTTTTAATGTCCACTCAATCTCATTGTTTTCTATTTGACCCAAAATAAGAGGTAAAATGTATTTTATATTATGAAGTAATTTAGTATAAAGAATACAATTTATTAGATATAAAATAAATATGTAAAGTGCCATTTAATTTTCTCAAAGAAATTTTCTGTCGATAGATACACAGATTCTATAAAAGTACGTGGTGTCGATGTATTTTAGAATAATAGTTTTTTAGAAGTCTTCACGCTCTAATAAACGGTTTGCACTCTATGTCAATATACTGGTTTACCTTGCAGCGATAATTTTTATATGCAGGTCTTCATTTTCATTGAATTTGATAGTTGTTTTTTCCAAATTTTCCAAAGTCAAAATGTATGTTTTGCAGCTATCACTATCAAGTATTCAATTCACAATCGTGGAATTGTTAAACTCAATTTTATACAAGAATTTCTAACAACTAATTTCAAAATTAAGCCTGTTATCTAGCAGATTTCTACTAGGTATAAATTAATACTTTAGGTATCTACCTTTATTACCCAGTAGTAGCTTAACTAATAAGATTACTTAAAATAATTATTTAAAAGTATTTAATGTCAATTAATAGATACAGAAGTTCATGACTGCGGGTTTTCACTCTGCAGTCCGTCTATATGAAAGAAATTGTGTTGTTCATATAAATCGTTTCTGAAATTTTGTCTACATGATAAGGTAATAGACATATTGAGTGGTGTACATAGGGATATGTTATCAAGTCGACCCAAAAGTTCCCAGGGTCTGGCCGTCTGCCCCGATAATACTTCGAGGGACCGTTTTCCATCAGGCGGGATTTTGGGAATAAAATTTGCATACAAACGTGTTATATACGGTAATGTACCAAAATTCGTTTTGGAACTACATCCGTACTTGGGATTTTGAGATAGGAATAATAATTATATGATTCTACTTTTCTTTATTAAAATGAATGTAAATAAATCTTTGAAATGGTCACGTTTGGAAATGATAAAGGTCTAATTAGAGGAACAGCGTTCCACCAAAGCTTTGTAAATAAATGGGCACTCATTTACAAACGGAAGTCACGTATAATATTAACTAAACACTTACTTCTATCATCATTCATTAGTGTAAATGGTTAAAAGTTCTTTGTGATTATTAGTTTAATTATACCTAATTAGATACGTGCTTTAAATGTGGTCATTAGTTATAAATATATATAATACTGGTAAATTGTAAATTAGACAATAATAAGGAACTAGTACGTAGATTTGCACAACCATAATAGTACAAACACTGGAGCAAAGAAAGGCAGTTACATATTAACTAAAAAGAATTTTATTTTAACAAGAAGAAATAAGATTTCATTTGTAAGTTGTAAGACAAATATAAGTAGCTAATACTATATAGTATACACAACTAATGGATCCGTATACTTGGTCTCATAGGATAGAACTCCATTGAACTGAATTCTATTTAAGCTACTAAAAATTTGTGGAATACGAACAAACAAGCTATAGAACTCTGTTCTGCTCTTGCATAATGATAGCGAAACAATCTTCATCATCATAGAGAAGAGAGAAGGAAGGAAGGAGAGATGAAGATAGGAGAGAGGAAATTGCTAATCTGTAGGATTAAGTAGTAGATATCAAACAGTCTGAAAGAATGATTAACTTGATTTCATTATTTTATACTTCACAATTCTACTATTGCTACTATACGATACAGGTTATTATATTACACATATATACTTCTACATATATATTTCTGAAAGACTTATCATGATTTATCACAGCAGCTGTTACTATCTGTACATGTATATTGAGGGAACGAAACGAATATTGTCATAAATTTTCTTCCAACATTTAAATCTTCTATTTTCCTTTACTTTTGTAACCAAACCATATGTTACCAGTCGTATAGTGACAGCATTCTTAATTGTTATGGCTCAAAACCCTTTTGCGGATTGCGGCCAGTGGGTTTGCGGGGAAGTAATTTCCATTGAAATTATTATATCAACCTGTTCAGTTACAAAAATGTACGTAAATACATTTGTATACAATTTTGGAAACGATGCCTTAAATATTTTCACTTGGATATGTCCGTATCTTTGATGTATGTAATCTTACTTTCAATAGTTTTTAATATTGATACCCTATTGCCAAAGTTCGTGTGTGGATACAGTACATTTAAAACAACAAATAATTTATTTATTCCGGTATGATTGGAAATATAAAACCTAGTATTTTAATAGTTATTACGTATTAAAGTTATGTACGTTGTTTGTTTCTTTTCAGATAAAATTAGCCTATAGCAGTCCCTATTACAGAATAAATCTTCAAGTCTAATTTTATAAAGAGTCGTTCAATCGTGAAATGGTAATAAAAAAAAAACATTCGCTTATGTAATTTAATATATATACTAATACGTAGATTACAACACCAATCACTTTTTAGAATTGTACTGTAAGGATATGCGTCTGCCTACGTATCACCTTTTACCATAAAATAGGGCAACTTTAGACACCTGCCGTATCTGACCCCGAAATGTAACTTTCGCAGCAATTTATCACTCACGCTCTCTAAACGAATACATGGACCTTTTAATATAATAGAAGTACTACGTATAGTATTGTATACGTAGTACTTCTATTAATATAATATTAATATATATAATATTTGGTAAATAAATAATTGTTTTCTTTGTTTCTAGCAATTAGTACAATGCTTTTACTACATGGCATCAAAATCTTTTAGAGTCATTTTTGTGTCTTGATTAGTTTTTTAATTTAGCACAATATTTTCATTATAATTTTATCCAGTGTTCCTTCCTTAATATACTGGCTACTGACCATATTTTAGGGAAAAAATCTAAAACAAAAAAAATCAATCAGTTTTCATTTATTTTCAAGAGTATAGTAGTTTTTTTTATTAGGGATATACTTCTTATGGCTAGAACCTGTTCTTATCTGTTTATAGTTTCAGACATAGTCTAATAGACATAGACCAATACTAGTTACATTTTAACTAGTATTAGTCTATGTCTATTAGAAGTCCATCAAAAGCCTTTAAAATTCGCTAATTGATTACAATTTTTAAAGAACATCAAAATCAAAATTAGATTTGACTTATACCAATTTTGTAATATGCAGAAACATTATTAAAAATGTTATAATATGCTTGTCAACTTACCTACCCACAACAATCCATAATTCTCGTTAACTGCCAGAGTCCCAGCCAAAACGCCACGTTGATGCAGCTATGATTTATGAGTTTCTTGCTAACAAGAAATAATAATAATATTTTGTGAATAGTGAATTAAGTACAAGTTTTTAGTCTTTTATATGAAATTTAAAATCAGGAATTATTCATTAATGTATCTATTTATTTCATTAGTGTGTTATGTATGAGTCCTTATATGTTATATTCTTTATTTTGTAACAGTAATACAATTAGGTAGTATGTATCATAGAGTACAGAACTATTATGGCAGTAATTAATGCCGTTTTCTTTTATCGTAATTTAAATAAGCATGTTTAGAAGAGATTGCTTAGAGCGATAAGGCCACCTTTTGTTAGCATATTTATATTAAGTTTCTTTTTTGTAAATATTTTTAATGAACAGTAGAGTTATATTATTATTATATTCACTGTTGTCTCATTTTCTCAACTCTTGTTGGATTTTTACGAGCATTATTATTATTACCTATATAGTATAGTTACGTTGTATGAAATGACTTAAGTTGATAATAATATGTCGGTTATCATTAATATCCAGCTTAGAATTCTAGTGATCATTTAATCACATCGATCAACATTAGCAAAACGTTGAAATAGCGCTGTAAGCATTACAGATGAATACTGCAAACTTGACAGGTATGTGTTATCTATTAAGTTGCTTCAACTTGACAGGTAAGCAATTACTGCCTTGATCCAATGTTACACTTATATGAGATATATATGTATGTAAGTGTAGTATTATTGTTGTGTTTATATACATCAAAGGTAAGACATATCATCTAAATATTTCTGGTAATGTAATTTGTATGTTTTTTGACATTAATGATTTTACTACGTTTATTTAGAGTTCATACAAGAGAAAACTTTATTGACCTCTACAATAATCTTTTTGAAATTGAGGATTTGTTCAACTCGAAATTGACTATAAGATTTTTTTTGTATTTCTATATTGTATGGTTATTATTTATCGTAATAGAACCTCAATTTTCTTATGCGATTAATTAATAAGTGTTATTAGTAGCCCTAAAAAGGGCTTACCGCAACAACTCCTCATGAATAGAAATGTTAGTGCCGTGCGAGGAATCGAACCCGCGACCATCGGAAGTAAAGCGGTGTGCTAAAGCGCTAGACTACAGTTAGCTTTTTAAACTGTGTTTCGGTTAAAGGATGAGATATGGCAGTATAATTATAGAAAACTCTAGAAAAGTTAATAGATACCACATGTCAGATGATAACGCGATATCTATGGTTCTGTTCATGCAAAAGACGGTTGTCACTACAATCAGGTGGGCCATCAGCTTATTTACCATTCCAGTCACAAAAAAGTACTTTTGTTGTATTATCTTTATAGCCAACCTCTTCTAACATGTTATACTCCTATAGATGAATTCATTCAAAAAGATATTCATTCAAGGTGGAGGGAGGAAGGATCTGGTTAGCCACTGATCAATGAATACGATTGATCAGTGGAACACACACATTGAATTCGTCCCACCATCTAAGCGGGAGTCGGAAGTTAAGTACCAAATTAATGAAACTCTGTATGTATAAGTATGAAATTGGTCAAGTACTAAATCATATGTATTATATACTTAATAATATTCTTTCTATAAAATTGTCTTGGACGAATGTCACAATGGGATATAATCGGATGCAAAGAAAAACTTCATAGTATAAATAGACAATATTATTGTATAAATTTTTGTATACATATTAATATGTATAACCGAATTTACTAAGTTATACTGGCTATAGACAATTTTTTACTAAAGAATTTGGCAGTTTCGTTTCTCAACTTCCTGAGTCTTGTGAACAACCTGTAATCAGATATTATTATAATTAGGTTAGATCCTATTTACCAAAATATATATACATAATTTGTGCAAATTGAACCGTACATTAGCTAATTATTCATTTATCATAAAGAGACATAAATATACATAGCTTCTTCCACATACAACAGCGTTTTGCCTTGTCTTTTTTATACTTGTTGATTTAAAAATATATTTTCTGTCTAGATAAAAAACAACACCAATGTTATAAAATAGAAATAAAGTGCATAAATCGATATTAAAATTGTTTTGTTTATATTCCAAAACATAATAGTAAGTAGGTAAATTAAAACATGGAATGGTTACCGAATGGTGTTGTTGCCAAACAGAATGTTTCCGGATAATTAATTTAATTGGATATTTATTTTCCTTGGCAATGCTATACAGGTTTACTAAATAACAAACAAATTTGTTTTGGGTAAAACAAAACTTCAATGGTAGCAACGTAATTGATTAATTAAATTTGGCTGTAAATTACTAAGAGTCCAATTCCAGTTACAACAGGGATATGCACAGAATACATTAAACATAAAATTACCTAAGTCAAATATTAATATTGAACAATGTTCAAATTGAAGGGAACTTTACAAACTAGATTACTGCTGTACTTAGATCAATGATAAGCAAATATGCAAAACATAAAAAACTTATTTATTTATACTTTATTGAACATAAACAAGGTATATATCATTTTTAGTAGGAAATGTGATTGATAAATAGTAGACTTTGAAATGAGCTCCCTCTCGCAAAGCAATAATAAAATGTGTATATATACGAGTATATATCGGTAAAAAGATCGGTGTATTAGAAATTTATTTCTAGTTATCTTTAATTTTTAGATACATTATATAGATAATTGGATCTTCACACGAATTTTATAGAACATTAAGGTATCTACTTATCTCAACATTTCGACTAGGTTTCACTAGCTGTGGTCTCGAGTTCTACACAATGTGAGGTAAGTTGAGACCTTTATTTTCCATATAATGAAATGTGCTAAGACCCGTTCAACTACATTAACTACTTATAATGATAATATGTTTCTCTAGTCGCCACTTACAAACTAAAGGAAATTAAAAGGTAGGTATTGTGTGACATTGTATTCATTCAGTCATCACATAGTAAATAGACCAGTTTAATGAATATCTAAATAATATATATTATTGTTATCTACTTACAAATTACATCTAGCCCACTCCCCCCTCCTCCGATCCCCCCTGCTCTCAGACTAAAGTCGTATCCATCGGGCGAGAGTTGGGCTTCAACCGCTCCATAAGTCCTTCCGCTGGTTTGGAGTATCATCTGCACTCGCCCTTTTTCATCGGGTGAAGCTGTAAAGGCCAGCGGCAGCCAGCTGCAGCCAGCTGCATTATAGTCCAAAAAAATCTTACCGTGATCGGGGCAATAGTGCCGTCGGCGCCTCCTTCGCCGCTGCGCATCACATGCGTCCACGCATGTCTCCTCTGTGCATATCGCATTAATTTCAATAAATGATAATTAGTTATAAATAGTAGAAAAAGTATACATGATTACTTTTACTATGATGTCTTCTACGTTGGTACCCCTGTCTCAACTATTTGAGTCACAAAATAGTTTCATTCATAAGATGTATTTTGATTAAAAGTTCAGATAATGCAGTAAAATTACAGGATAAGGCAGTGCATAAATAGTACCTAGAAGACCCATGATAGACCTGAGGTCATTCATATATAGTATTTACCTAACTTCAAAAACTTAGGTAGGTACACGCTTATTATATCATTTTCATATCTAACTGCGAAAGCAATTTCAACTACGTATACTTTAACATTGAGATTTGTTATTAAAATCAGTCTGTCACGTTTCAAGATTAATGAATTCGTCTTCAATTCTACTAAAAGGCCTTCTCGCAGAAACGCTCTGAGATGTATATAAAGTTTCTTACATCTTCTAATTTTATTCTAAATTGGCTCGTTCCCGTTCTAACACAATTTATAGTTTGTCAGAAATAGTATAAACTGTAGGTACAACTTTACTTTGATATAATATTGAAAGTTGTTACTTTTTCTAGAAACTTTTATACCTACCTAATGACTTCCAAACTTTTATTTTGTGAAAGTAGAATAACTAGATAAATCAAATCTCAAAAATATATCCAATAGGATTCTTTCATTTCCTGAAGTAGAAATGTGAAGGACATATTTTTTTAGAATTAACTGGGGTTTGTTTTATAAACCAAGTTTATTTAACCAACAAGTTATTATCAGCTCTTAAGTCCCATCAGTATTACATGTATGTTGCCGATTCTTAAGAAACCTTATAAGCTTAAACATGATTATTTATTGTCCAACAAAATCTAAACGTTGCATAACCTGGTGAAATCAATAGATATAATTTTCTGGACTCTACTTTGTGCAAAGTCATCTGCGTGGGTACAAATATCACCAATGAGCTTGGTTTATAAGATTGTTTTAGTTTAAGGGAAAGATAAGACAATGAAATTACAAGATATGGTGGTATGACATCTTAGTGTGCTAGAATGGCAACAAATGATTGGTACCATTGGTATAACAGGATATCTGTAGTAAAACGACGTACCACAAACCGTCAAGAGAGTCGTCAGTTTCTGTAGAATTCTTGTTGCTTAATAAAAAATGTATCATAACCAGGTGTAATTAGGTAGTATTTACACTGACCGTCACAACACGACTGATGCGGCGGCGGCGCGGCGTCATCATCATGGCGAGCGAGCGCTCGCAATTGTAGCGTGTAAGCGCGAGATCCGCCCCCGCCCTGCACCGAGCCGGGACCACCCGCAAATGTTGCGTATGGACTTATTTCATATACATCTAAAAAAATGTGGGTTTGTTTTTTACATAATACCTACCAAATGAATATGAAAAATACGCAAAATATCAAGTTCTTCTAGAAATAACTTAAAAGTAAAAACAACATACGAGTATATTTTGTTGTAGTCACAAAATTTAATTAAACAAGTCAAACTATTTTAGTTAGGTACTAGTACAATTACTTTATGCGTCAATGTTTTTCAATAGATACTAATCAATATTTAGATGTTTATTACTTTTAAAACATTTTTGAGTGTATCAACTCGTAAAATAAAACAAATGTTATCATGATTTAACTACAGTCGCAGATCCATTTAAATCACTATATGGTATAATCAACGAATGTATGGAGGAACATGAGTACAATGAAATACCATCAATTTGAGATCCATTTTATTTTTTCAAGTACACAGATTAATGTGTTTGTTATTGAGTAATATTTTTAGTTCGCTTATATTACTCAAATGCACACTTTTACAGAACCATCATATTGATGCAGTATTAATTTTCCAATATTTTATATTTGGATATACCAATGTTCAAGTTACCTGGTGGATCTGGTGGTAATTTCGGTGTTTGATGAGGAGGTGCCCTATAGGTGCCGCATCCTGATTTCTCAGCACTCGTTGAAACCCTCGCTACCGCGCCGTCGCTTCTGACAATGTAAAAACTCTTAAGGAAACTGTTTAAAGTGTATACTTGGTCGGTCGTAAATAGTACTATACCCAATGACAGTATTTATAAAACTCAAAAATGTTCTCATTAATTTTTAAAACCCTTATATAAACTGTAGGTACGGTCGCATGATGAATTTAGTAGATATGGACGTTCATAGTTTACATTCAGATTTCTACTTTGTATTTACTAAGTGAACGTACTTTTATTTCATGACTTTCGTTTTGGTACATATATCTTTTAAGACTAACCATATGTAAATAGATATAATGATGCTCAATTGGAATCTTTAATATTTGGAAGGTTTTCAATGTAAAAACGTACAATATAGTAGTATCACTAAAAAATATTTATTCATTTATTTAAACCATAGATCCATAGATCCATAGATTACCCAGTTAAAATATTTCTTAAAATTACATATAAACATTGGAAGTCAATAAAAATACTATGTACGGTGTTGTACTAAGAGCATCAGTTAATATAGATTAATAAATTACTACAGATAATGTCCTATATATCTTCATACTTTAGGTTAAAGCTGTTTGTAGAAAGCAAAGTCATTAAATATGTGAAATATAAATATATTAAAATCTGTGAAAATAAAAGTTCCGTACAGAATAAAGCAGTGCCTCCCTCCCCCATAGGCTGTCATAATTTATGTAGAATGAAAGACAATTATTCGTTGTGAATACACCAACATAGGCCCAGAAACTTAGCTAAGTACTTATATTTGAAGTTAAATTAAAGCTCGTCGCCACTCGTCAGAGGCTTTGTTTTATCTCCCTTGCTTTTGTACAGAAAACTGAATTATGCCAACTAATTCGGAATATTCAAAATCGACTTCTGTGTGTGTTAATATTAAGATTATTTATATCACTGTTGTTTTTTACATAAAGTAAACTTTAATTTAAATATTACCTGTTTCTCGCAAGGTTCTTTCCTTTTTGAGATAAAGTCTATATTCCTTGTAATCTCTTCTTAATTCCAAATTTGATTAAAATGATTTCAACCGTTCTGTCGTTTTTTATGTAATTAAAATGATAAACAAGCTAAAACTCCACCTGATAGTGAACGATAACAGCACTACATATATCACGTTATCATGTAATACTCGTAATATAATTTATCTGCATAATCTACACCCTACATCTGAAACACTGCCCGTAAAAGAATGTGCTTGGCGGGTGAAATAATTGAGACTGATGCAGTGTTTGTAAAAAACACTGTATGTCAGTCTACCTCTTGTAAACATGAAAAGATAATAGACAGACATACTTTAGCATAATATTAGTATGAATTCCTTCAAAAGTTTCACTAAAAATATATCCACACTATCAAAACAGTAAATATTCTAGATATAAAAAATATAAGAATGAAGTTTTTCATGTTATTATTAGTTACATAGTTCATTAGGTACTTTCAGATAAAACAGAGAGAAGTATAGTATAAATTAAAATATCAAGAGGTGACTGACAGGTATGTTTTTGTAAAATATAACATTTAATGAAAACATCGACAACAGAAATCAATTTAAGATTGAAAAGTAAAATTTTCAAAGTCGATTCAATACAGCTTTGAATTCTGAAGGAATAACTTATTGCGATTAGTGGGACCATTGAACAAAACTTTATGAAAACTTGAGTGAAAGCTTAAATTGTAAAATATGAAATATTTTAATTTGTACAGAGAAACTTCAAACGAAAGTGCGAAATACTGAATCCAGTAACGACATTTTAGATTAAGTACGATGCGTAGTAGCGAAACCAGTTACAAGTTACAAGTTTTCGGATATAAGTACTTATTTCGAGCCCTCAACTAGTATTCAGATGGAGATGCGTAATTTGATAACCAGTAGCTAGTTTTCGGGTTGAGATACGTAAATCTAAAATCAGTAACCAATTTTCAACTTAAATTTAGTTACTCCTACCACAGATAATATATAAAATATAATAAAATAATATATACACACACACATACATCTCATATTTAATTTCGGTCGATCGTTAATTCTCATTTTAAAATATATTCTAATGTACAATAACTCTAGTGTACATACTCAAGTTCCAGTCGTCCTCCAATACGCAGTTTGTTTTTGATTGGTGTGTTTGACGTCAATATTTGATTAAAATGTTTGCATAGTTTATTTGGATGGAAAACATGTAATTTTTACGTTATTCCCGATAAATTTTTTCTTAAAATGAGCTCCGGATTACAATTAATATTGGATGACTTAAACTAAACTGTGGTTTTATTTAAGTCCTCGTGTGTCAAAACCTGTCGTTGCACAGATTATTATTTATTTAATTAAAAGTATAATATTAACTAATTAGATACCAATTATTAGGCATTATATACCAAAATTTAGTATTTAAGAGTAGCGACGCATTAAGAATATATAATAAACATGATATTTACCATATATCATTTATTGTAATAGATACTCAACACGAATGCCATCAAAATACGTTTTCTAAATATGAAATATAAAAAGGTCGTCATATGTCCTTTAGCACTCAAAGCTGTTCTGACTTGTGACGCGTGAGAAGGGTCGATGGCAGTCGTTCGATTGTCGGTAGGTTTTGTGTCAGCGTTTGTCGCACACAGAACACCTCCGTTAACGAACCCTTTTTGCTTTACAAACATTTTTTACTTTTAATTTTTAACATAATAGAATGCTATTAGAGTTTATATCAAAAGTTGTTCAGTTTTAATGTGGTCAGTACATAACGTCGTCATTCTAGAAATTAATATTAACAGTTCTTCCGAAGCAGATGTGCCCTCTAAGCACCCTAATCTCTGGTATATTTATTTATATTGTCGAACCCTTAAAGAAAGTATTTTTTCTAATATAATAATCACATACATACATTTAAAATTCGGAATAATATCTACATATGTTTCCACCACTGTTATTACTCTATCCGTAGGTCTTATAAAAGCTTCTCTCATACAATTAGCTGGTATGACCTTTCAAAAATATACAAGTTAATATATATCTTACCTCTTACGTCTAAGGAGTATTGCTAATATAGTGAGTGCAGCAAGTGACAGCGCCGCACACAGTGCAAGCAACAATGCAAGTTCACCAGCTGTGGCTGGAAACGGAGCGTCAACTTCTTCAGCGAAACCTCCTTCAGAAGGTGTAGTGGTGAACTCATACACTTCACGAGTTAAACCAGCTTCGTTTGTACCACGAGCAGCAACACGGTACCGTGAACCGGGTGTCAGACCTACACAATGTGCAGATGTGATAAAGAAAATTTTATAAAATAATTGTATTGTCTATAGTATGAATGTCTATAGTAATCAAGGAGTAATTGACAAAAGTTTCCTTGTCAACAGTAACGAAGTTCTTAAGCAAGATTATTTAATAAAACTATTTGTTTATGCTTTAAATGTGATACAATGGTTTAGGTTATTTTTAAATATGTTTCCCACATTTACTCATCACTGAAATGCAACAGATGTTAAGGAGGTATAAATGTTTACCTATAATTATCAAAGTATAATTATTATCACAAATCCACGCACTTAATCCAATTATTAAAAAGGGCTTAGGATTAAGAATTAGTTTTGTTACAGTTAAGATATTAAACCAATATTGTTCACCAAAATACCAATGGGGACCGATAAATCTCACAATGAATTACCCTACATTATCTTCGTTTAGGTATTCAATAACAAAATAATGTTTCAGATAACAACAAACTTTTAAGATTATTTTTGAATAATTAGTTATTATCTAGGTTGCGCAAGGTTGTTATAAATTATTGGATCCAGACAGAAAATGCCCTTATTTAATTTTGTCTTAAATTTCAATAATGTTTTGATGTTATTAAGCAAATATTAGTGTTATAATTATTTCTTACCGCCCAGTATAACTTCTCCTCCTACAGGCACATCCCTCGCTCCGGCTACACCAGAACCAGCCCACTCCAACTTCAGTGCAACGGGGCCACAACCGCCGTCACTCCACGCACTTGTATCGAACCTAGCATGTGTTGCATTAGTTCGAATCCACCTTCCATCTGGTGGTGCAATTGGTGGTCCACCGGAGGTTCGGACAGTTATTTCAGCCCCTGGAGCACCTCCAGCAGAACCATATGCTTTATATGATGAACCACAACGTAAACTCGTCAATGTAATTGGTCCTGGGGTCGCTGCTTGAATTCGCCATTCACCCTAAAAATATAATTACACTAACTGACCCGACAAACATTTGCCACTTTAATTGAAGTATTAAAATCGCGATTAAACAATAGGGATTCATGGTAGAACGGTGATAATTTTATTGCCGAATCATAACTCATAAAAATATTCAGAAAATAAATACAAATTATCCCTTATCTATTAGGTGTATGAAGAATGGTTTACATCCTATACTATATTACGATATACTGAATATATATACAAAATTTCATAAAAAGCCCTTCCGAAGGAGATTGGTCAGAAACACTGTGACACGATAATTTTAAATATTACTTTGAAGACCACTTTTTCATGTGTAGATATTATTATTATATACATATTATAACACATACTACCCCATAGTAACTTTAGCAGCAATATAATAACTACTTATAATACATAGTACCGAATTTATGCTTAATCGATGGAAGACAAACGGATGGCATGTATACGATCGAGTAAGTTAAATAGATTTTTTTTAAATTCATAAACAATTAGTAAGTTAAATATTTTTTTTTAAAAGTAATTTTAGAAAAAAATGTTTACCTCATGCATTGCAAGTCTCCAGTGCAGTGTATAAGCTTTAGGTAAAGCATGTCCAGGTGATCTAGAAGCTGGTCGCAATTCCAATTCTAATTCCCGTGACCGAGCTTCCAATAAAGCTAGACCAGGTGGTGTAGGTGGCCTCAATACCACTACTCGCCACGTAACGGAATCTGATCCGTGAGGATTTTCAGCGACGCATGTGTAATTATCAGCGTGTGATAAATCCAAACCTAATATAAAATTCAAGATTAAAAAAAGACGTATGTTTTCTAAATTATATTACAATGACTAAATTATCTATTTAAATATACTCACCGAGAGCATGTAATTTTATAAAAAAAAATAAAAGAAATAATATTACAACATTTAGAAATATAATGACATATATATTGGTTATATACACGGTACTAACTTCGAATTACTAAGGCGTCGCCATCAAGATGAAATGGGGCACGTGGATGCAATGGACTTCCGCCTCGAAGCCAACGTTTAGCTGGTGGAGGGGCTCCTCCAACCACGCAACGTAATGATAAGGAGCTCCCTGCAGCTCCCATAGTCAACCCTCCGAATGAAGAAATACGGGCTGGTGCTATACCAATTGGAGAAAACCATGAATACATTGAGTACATACGACTAAGTTGTATTATCAGTTCTGTTATAATTTTGTTTTATTGCAAAACTGATGGGTTTGAACTTGGGACTATTTAACTATTATTTCCCTACTTAGCTCGAATTTTTTACTGACGTATTAATTTAAGTACACATTATTTAATCTTTTAAAATATTAAATATAGAAAGCAACAAACAACTTTATTTTTCTTAAAGTTACTTAACTTTAATGTTATCACCCCTAACAAGTTTCTGTTCTATTAGTACTTTGTGAGAAATTAAGAAGTTTAGTGCGGGTGAAAAACATATTTATTCTAGCTTGTACAAATTAGAGGAAGTACCATATTTTCCCTCGTCTATTATATACAGTATATACAGTAGATTGAAATAATAGAACATTTGAAATGTACCGTAGGTGTTAAGATATAATCAATACTTTATTTCTTTTTTAAAGAAAACACAATAATTAATGTTACCTAATGAGCTAGTTTGGCAAGCAACAGCAGCAGATGGTGGGCCTTCTCCAGCAGCAGTGGATGCTCTCACCCAGGCCTCATATGTTCTTCCAGCGCGGAGACCACGCAAAGATTTCATACATTCCACAGACCCCCCTTCCGGCTCCGTGCACGCATTAACCCGAGATATGTTTGCTTCTTGGGATCTACAGAACAATGTAGCCTTTGACTCATTTGACCTTTATTCATTCCAAACCATCAAATTATTCCTTATTATGATATTAGTATATATTTGTATACGTGCAGGAAATTTTACATATATTTCTAATATCAAAATAAACGACATTGTTCCATTAATCTTGAAATATGAATTAAAAATAAAATGAAAAAATAAAACAATGGTCAAGTATATTAATATCACTTATATGGACAAGAGCAAAGTACAACAAAACATTGTATTTATGTTGAATATTTTAAAAAGTATAATCTATGTAACATTCATTATATATAGACAAATACGTGTAATTGTTCTAAATTGCATGTAAAAATAAAAAAGTATTTTACGGATTTTTTTTTAATCATAGAACAGACATAAATAAGTCATAGAACTCACCCAGATAAATCCTTGACATATAGACTGTAATGGGTAAGTTTTCCATTTGGCTCTGGAGGTGGTAACCACGAAGCTCTTAATGAACGTTCGCTTAGAGCAATCAACTTCATTCCACCTGGGGCGCTTGGTACTAAAATTTTATATCACCATTAATTTTGACAATATAAACTAAGCCTATCACTGTAGCTCTCTGCATTAACCGCTTCAATTAATGTAAAAAAATTATCATCTTAGGGCAATATTATTATATGGTCTATCTACTAAATAACTACCAAAAAGTCATTCAAGTGTAGTCAAAAAAGGTTCAGTCTTTACAGTCTGTCATCTAAGTGGTTAACTATCCAGACTTGCATTGAAAATATGACACACATCCACATTAACAGTAAAATTATGTTGTTAAGATAATTGACATTTTAGGTATACACTTAAATCCCATAGAAGCTACATACACTTTCTTACTAAATATTAATCTCTGCAAGAGCTGCCAAATAGTTACTCGGTTGATTCTATCTAGTATACATAAACTATTGAAAACTTCCAATACTTCATAAATCTAATTTCAACTATATTTGTTATAGCAGGCGAAATGAAGCATTGGCCCAAAAAAACTAACGTAATTGTTTTTATCTTTTTAAATGTTTTATTTCAGTCTGATTTTGTTTCATGTCACACCTAGTAGTAGTATAATAAAATCATTAAGCAGAAAACTAACCGTCTTCATCAGTTCTGCACACTTGTGGAGCGGACAGCGGTCCATCACCTGCCGCATTATGTGCCCGAACTCTTATTTCGTATTCCGCATACGAGGTCAGTCTAGATACAGTGGCCTCTTCCCCCTGTTGTATGATGGATGGACATTACGCTTACATTTATATATTTACATGAAATCGGTCACTAAATCTACAGTTATCCCTTTATTTGGTAGCCATCTTGTATTTGTAGGTAATGACGTACATTAATATTATTTACATTTTTTTAAATAATATCTCCGCTGTATTACCAAATAGACAAAAAAATTAGATATATGTACTATATTTTAACCCCAGAGTGTCGTAAGAAGCATAAAGAAACGGAAGGTAGTATAGGAGAAGGGAAATTATATATGGTTTAAACACTTATACGAAGGTAATTTAATGGGTTGTTATAATTATGTCATAACAACCCATTAACCCATTACGAGAGATTTTGATGTTTATGATCATACTAGTTTTTAATTAATTAGGTTTACCTTTTTAAGTTACCTGCATTTACATATATCATACTTGCTGATATATATATGAAAATATATAAAGTATATAAATTTTATCTATTTTATAACCATCGACTATAAAAACAATAGAATTGTCGTATTCTCTGCAATACTCTGCATGGTAACGAACTGTGAAAAATTTGTTGTACCGAATGTCTGTCATGTGAATTGTATATACCTATAGTTGAATAAAATCATTCTTACCTGAACTCGTAGATAGGCATCTTGGGATGGAAGCAATGGATCAACATCACGTCTAGTATATTGTAATGTGTAATGTGTTATCAATCCACCTCTATTATCGATAGCCGGGGGTCGCCATGACACCCGCAGAGATGTTGAACTACTTGCCAAACACGACACTCCTTCGGGCCCACCCGTCGGTGCTAGGGAATTATGTACATTGTTGTAGAACATTCCAGATATTTCCAGTTATAAAAATGCAATAAAGCCGGAGCACAAAAGTGCTATCAATTTGTTCTGAATCGTTTGACCTAGATCGGAAAGGCCACAGTCCAATTAAGCCATTTTGCATTTTGATGGGAAAATTTACGATCGTCGCTTCACGTCGATAGAAGTGCGGATTTATTTACGCGAGACGACAAAACTGACTACCGCCTCGTTGGACTTCCAGCTTGGCTATTGAACTTCTTAAGGGGTGTTATTATGGACATTTAATAAAACGGCTGTTTTTACTCTTGAGCAAAGTTTTTATCCATGAAGTTTTTATGTGAATCTTGTCACCAAGACGTCTGCAGTAAAACATTGTAGTCACAGAGATTTCTTCTTTAAAGTAATTACGGTTATGTAAATAAGCTTTTATATGTAATAATGACTTTTATATTTGGGATTAACATAGTCATAGTTATATTACAAATTGCAAGGTTCCTATGGCGAATCTCAGTCAGTTAGGATTATTTTATTGTAGGTATATAGGTTTTTTAAAAATTCAACTTACTATCCAAAGTTGAAATGATGCCTTTGCTAGTACATCCGGTACTAGTAAAGGTATTAAAATGGATTTCAAATAAATCAGAAGGATCGACAATAAATTACTGCGAAAGTGTGTGTAAAGTCATCAAGAAACCAAATTAAATAAAAATATCCTATTAAAATCACGCCTTACAATCTGTACTCGATGTATACTTATTCTCTCTACCAAAGTGTAAAGGGAAGATTTAATTTTAATATTAACAATTCCCATCACGAATCACGAAAATCAGGCACCCATAGATAAAGTAATATTATTATCTAACCAAAAACAATAAATTTCGACCGTGCTCTAATTAGTCCTATTACACGGTCTATATCTGACCAGAGTTACGTAGAAAATATTTTTTACGTGACTTAGAAACAGTTTAACGCGTTTTTTGATAAAGATTCCCGAGCTTATATTTGTTCATATTTATAAACAAATATAATCTCGGCAATATTTATTAGAGAATTAATGAAATGGTTACAATTATGGTTTTACATAACATATGTATACACATATTTAGTAACAATATTTGCATTTTTATTGCCGATTTATTGTATAAAATAATTAAGTATCTAAAGTAAAATGTTTTGATTTTATATGTTCTAATAAATTTTAGGCCTCTCTTATTTTTAATTTGGTATTTAATAGATAATCAAAGAATGAACAACGCTATCAGATAGAATATTAACCTTCGAGAGAGAGAGAACCGATTGAACAGTAGTTGTGATGAAAATATATAAATAAATGTATATATTTTCATTACATCTATTATATATAAACAACTATAACTAAACAACAACTATTGTATACTTACGTGATTCTAAAGTATGTCGATAGTGAGGAGGTGAAACCGGGCCGGGTCCCGCCGCGTTATAGGCTCGTATCGTCACCCCATACCGGGTGGCTGCCTTTAATCCTCTTAAAGTAGTACTAGTGGCGTCAGCGCTAGCCCCGCTCTCCGATCCTGGGTTATCACTTATGACACCTTTGCCCTCTTCGGTCACTTCCCACCATTTGATCGTGTATCCCAGTAAGGTGCCGTGCCAAGTCTCCCTCGATGGCGGCTATTGAGATAAAACTTAGGAATTTCATCTGCACTTGATTTTTTTTTATTAATTTATTTTGAATTTTATCTAACCATGAGTTCGCATATGTAACGAACATTTGTTGATTTAACAAACAATTGTTTATCGAAAGTAGTAGATACTAAGTATAAATATTAAAAACTCTGATAGGAGGTGGCTTTATTATGAAAAGACTTGAATTATATTATATAAATATATAAAATATTCTAAATAAAAACACCAGTCATAGAAAAATTATTTGGTGGATATCTATTGTACATGTGCCTACATACATTCTTACTTCAAATTACAAGTATAAATTACAATAGGGTTAAAGTGTTAGTGTAGTGATTTACTATTATATAAATAATTAGGTGTTCACATAACTGAAGCTGGCTACCTGCCAAGTGACATGAAGCTCTCGAGCCCTAAGTGCCCGCACTGTGATATCACGTGGTGTTCCTCCCGGTGCTAGTGAACAGAATTCATTGTTACATTAAATACTATCACAATAAACAAACATTCTACTTATGGTACTATGTGGCATAAGCGAGTAGGTTGTGTATTTATTATATAGTATTGTTAGGTATGCTAGTAGGGGCTTTATTTATATTCGTATTGTTGTATATAAAAGTATATTGATTTAAAAGTAAATTACAGATATATAAAGTTATGTTGAACAGTATAAAATAATTAAGAATTAAGCACAACTCGTATATCTACAGAAGAAGCCATTTTGTTAGTTTTCCCGCGCAAACGTAATGCACCACAGATGCACAAATGTCATCTTACTGCGTCTACCCGCCTCGGAGCGACGAGCGCGTCATAGTATGCGTATGCGCGATGTTAATACGTACAATGTTACACTCATAGAGTATGAAATTAATATTACATACTATATAAAATTGTGAAATCGTAAAACAGAAAACTTTGTTTTCTTGTGTTAAGATTGTATTAACTGTATTTATGTAAAAACTCCAGTTCCTCCAGTAATTTGCGTGAAGTTTTAAATAAATATGTTGATAAATGTGGAGAAATTAGTATTTTGTTTCTTATTAATTTTATATACGCCATCAACTACTTACAATTATTAATAAAATAATAGGTGGCGATGAATAAAGGTTTTATTTATTTATGTCGTTTCACTATCGTCATTCTATGGCGTCTAAGAATGTACGCGCGGATAAAGCAGCAGCATTAGTACTTGTACGTATACTTATTAACACCAATCTATTTGGCCGACTATGGTAAAATAAAAGGTGTTTATTTTCAAAAACGAATACCTTTTATTTTCTGCATGCATAAAAGACATACATACATAAATATAATAGTATTAACTGTTACAATATGTGTATTTTCAAAGTAATAATAGATCACACAATTTCCAATAAAAAAAACTTCGTACTCAATATGCGTGTAACTAAAGCTATATATAGACTGGATGCTTCTAAATCCTCTGTAAAGGAGAAAGCATCAATGTTAAGTATATTTACCTTCTTCTCGAGTGGTGAAGTGTAGAGGTGCGGTATAGGAGGAGCCGCCGACATCATTGTAGGCGGCTAGCCTAAGTGCGTATCGCGTATCGGGAGATAATCCCGCCACCAACGCGCCCGCCCGACCCGGCCCTTCTGACCTATGTATACATATTATACGATTTTCAGTCGATATAGTATAACAGTTATTATGGTATCATATGGTATCTTGATATTGACTCAATATCTTATAAATTAATTAAAATGTTTACATATATAATACGAACAGGAACAGCTCAAATATTATTTGTTTTTTGGTAAAATATCGATTTTTTAAGAAGATATAAAATTAAAGAGAAAATTTTATAGCTAAACGTTACCTATCAAATTTAAGAAAAAAATATGTAAATAACTATTATAATAGTTCCAAAGATTTTTCACAACGTACTCTTCATAGTATTAATTTAGATAAAGATATCGATATATGTATGTATGTAAATGCAATTAACTTAACAATATGAACACACCTTAACATTCTATTACAACTATCAAATGAAAACATTAATTATATGCTAATTGTACATTTCTGACAGAATTGAAATCACTAGAGAATTATCATATTCATAAGGTGACAGAAACTTACGCGACATGAAGCAAATCCGAATTAGTTAACGTGACGTTGAGGATATCGGGCGAGTCCCATGTGTCGAGCAGAGCGGATAGCGGAGCGTCAAGTGGAGCGATTGTTAAATCTCGATTAAGAGCACGGTACTGCAGAGAATAATGTGAAACTAAGGCTCCGCGAGCTAGTCTCCAAGTAACTCTAGCTCTTCTTGACCATACTTCTGATACTCTAACTTCTTCAGGTATTGATGGACGCTCTAAAAAAAATAACTACAATTATTTAAATGTAGTATTTAATTTCTTCATTATTTGAGCCTCGTCACCAATAAGAATATTGGTCACGAGGCTCTAGGGTCCTAGTAGAGACTAGGACCCTAGATCTCACAAAGGATCAGTTATAGTTAGGCCGACACTAATGAAGTCGTATATTATAAATTTCTGATTACTGATAGAAAACAATGATAACAACTTTATGTAAAAGACGGCGATACAAATATTGGCATGGTATGTGTTGACACCATATTGTCCATTGTTGCCAGTGCCTTTGACCGCCCGATCTGGTTACAACCATATTAACATATCGGTACTCAAATATGTAAAATTCGTACTATCCAATATCTCATCAACAAACATCTTCACTTATGACTATAAGTACATTCGTACACGATATTCGCTCTATCACCCTGAGCTTAACAAATGATATTATACTCCGGATACAATTTATGTACATCCATGCTAATATTTTAAATGCACAAGTGTTATTCTAACATCTAAATAGATATTAATAAAATTTGAAAAAAGCAAAGTTTATATCGTGAAAACCGATAAATTTAATCTTATTCTACGTTTATTATTTATTACGTTTCTATTTCAAAAAACAAGTGCAATCATACTTATAAATGTAATTGTTTTTATTGTGCAACTATCGAACCCGTAACCAACACAAGATGATGACGTAAGTGTTTATCCACTACACGACCAAGGTAGACAAGATGATTTTTTAACGGTTCATGAGATTCATCTGAAAAAACATATTGAATATAAATTATTCATTACTTACCCTTTACAAATAGGCGATATATTAGCTCATCATTCCCATAAAGGTTTCGCGCAAGACATCGATATTCGCCGGCGTGTTCCGGTCCTGCATGTGTAATGGTTAATTCTGACAGTATCGCACCGTTTCCTGCATCTTTTGTTTCTATGCCACCACTACCACTAAAATATAATAACAATAATTCAATAATCCTGAACAATTCATACAACGCTATCTTGTTTAGCGATTGCCTTGGTGGTTACTAGATAAGTGATTGAAATAGGTACATTAAATTTGTGAATACATAATATACTTAGAAAGATACCCAGACCAATACATACAGGCCTAATCTTTAACGTAAAATATGGATAGTCAAGTCCAATTCCCGTCTAACGGATACCATTTTAGTCTGAGGCCACCGCTAGGGGTTCGAACCTCGGCTTAGAGCGCTGTAATTTTAATGCTCGTTTAAATTGGACGGGAGATCGATCGTAGGGGACTGATAGTAAGTAGTAACCTTCGCCTATATACATGAATAGAAATTGCAACGTATGATGTACCGTGATGACAATGGTACCCATTATGCATAGCTATTTCGGAGGACTAAGGTGTCATTTAAAATCGGTACAGTTGTTCCGGAGTGTTCATATTTCATTACAGAACCATCTCTCTTTATAATATTAGTACTGTATTATCTATTTATATATTAAGTTAAACTTACTGTAAGGCTAATGGCCTTAAATCATGTGTCCAATGTATATGAATTTCCGGTTCACCTTTTACTGTACAGGAAAGTCTTGCAGTTGATCCTCTAACAACCCATCGTGTTTCACCCCCACCTCCACTTCTACTTAATCTTGGAGGCTCTTTAACAATACCAAATTGTATTTAAAAATGCAGCAATAAGCAATTTATTTACAATTTGCATGGAATGCAACTAATGCAATAATACAAGCTGAAAATTAGTGTTTACAGCCTGACCGAAAATTGACTGAGCTAATCGTCCATTTAGACTGCTGTAGCACAGAATCATAAACGACAACGTTTTATTTGTGTGTCATATCAGGTATACAAATTTTATTTATTTTTATTTTGTTACTGTTTTTATTACGAAGTTTATTTGCATCTTTGTATTATTTTACTTAATCAGTATTACTAAAAAAAAGAACCACGATGCAACTTCAGTGTACAACAAAATATGTATATTTAAATTTTGTTTCTTACCATAAAATTTCAGAAAGACTTTTAGGTAGACGGTACGTACCTCTAACATCAAGATAAAATATATGATGTAAAAATGCATGTTGGGCACGCGCTGTACAACGGTACCAGCCTTCATGGTCCGGTGATGAAGCTCTCAACCATATTGTACCATCAGAAAGGATTGATCCTCCACTAACATCCATTGTTTCTGACTGTCCCCATAATACGTGCCGCCAATTTTCGCCATCTAAGTTTAACATTCGTAGTTTATTCATAATTTTATTTTTTTATTAACCATGTATAGGTAAAGTAAAAATTACACTAGTCATAATAATTTGTAATTATAAATTGGCATTTAGATTGTACAAATTGTTGCATGAAAAATAATTGTATTTTAAATTCTTTCACTATTAATTATTATTTTATTAGTTAACTTGTTATATTGAATAGTTTTTATTTTCAATAAGGTTGGATAGCAATGACATTAAAGTATGAATTATTACGTAAATAGATGTTTGTTACCTGGTGAGTACTCCCATGAAATTCTTGGTGATGGTTGTCCCTTGGCTGAGCACGGTAGAAGTATAGCTGCTCCGGCCGAAACCGATGTATTTTGGGCTCGCCATACCCACGTGGGTGGTTCTGTGGGGAAAGACTACTTTCAATGTGACGCTGTTCAATATTATAAATTATCAAGTTTTATATAGCTCATAAATACCTTTGACGGTTAACGTGGCGCTATGGCTTATAGTACCAAAGTCATTTGTTGCTTTACATGAATATTCTCCACTATGAGCCGAAGTTAGATCTTGGATAATCAGAATTGTGAAAAAATCCATATTCTTTTGTTCGGCCTAAAGAAAAATTATTGCTTATTTAATTGTAAAATTTTCAATCTACCCAAATATGTATATATATGTTTTACCTTTAAAACTGATGGAATTGGTAAATTATCTTTATGCCAAGTGAATTGTATTGGTTTATCACCGGATACTAAACTACAAGTCGCTTGTGTACTTCCTCCAACTTCAAGTTCTTCGGGAAAATGAAATGAAGCTATCTTTGGTGGTTCTATTAATAGAAGCAAAGGCTTAAGTTAGTTTAATTTACTACCTTTTTCCAATTGATATCCTCTTTAAACAAAGTCCTTACTTACTATGTACTTCTATGCGTACTGTTCTACGAGCTATTTCCCCACTCTCAGCGTGTATTTCACAAGTGTAACTACCAGCCGCCGAACTCCTTAATGAACTTAGTCTTAAGAGACCCCGGTCATCGCCGGATTCAATCACTGATTCTACTACAGAACCATCATCCCGTCGCCATATTACTTCCCTAAAATAATTAATTAAAATTATTTTAACAACATAATTTGGATAGTATTAGCAAAATAGAAATATTTGAAATTTATGCTGAAAAAAAATTGCGGAATGTGAGTCTATGACTATTTCTCGTAGTTATAAATGTGGAAACGGTTTTGCCGGAATTATTGAAAATTTTACTTAATTGACTTACTACTAATGATAACATCGATCCGCAATTAGTAAAATATGCTTATCTATACTCACTTGATAGGATATCCTGAATAAGGGCAGTTTAAGGTTATATCTGTATCAGTCTTCACGTGCATAGGAGGTAGATATCGGATATTCGGTGGACCTGTACATAATTTAACAAAATATTTAAGTACTAATAATAAACTTCCTTATATGTTTGCAAAACTTCCTTATCTTATATGTTTACAATATTTGTATTTTTCTTGACTCCTGAACTAGCAGTATGACAGAAGTTAGTTCCTTCTCAATATTTAGTCTTAAATTGAATATGATTAAGTCCTTAATGTGTTTATTAATTTAAAATATAATTGTTAACGTTTACCATATACATTTAATCTTGCATGATGAGCATGTGATCCACGCGAATTCGTTGCATTACAACCATACCTTCCACCTTCGTCAGCACTTCGAATAGTCACACTTAAAATTGATACTATGGTCCCTTCATCGCTTCCAGACAAATTCTCGGCTCTGGTATTAACACTATATCTAAAAGAAACAACTATGTTAAAAACAATATAAAATGCTGTACTTAGTATTTCTATCAGTTGTCTACTATTCATAATATAAGCTATGTTTAGCTTGGGACTAGACGGCGATATGTGAATTTTCAATATAAATTAAAATGAAAGGAACATACCTATCGGGTGCCGCAGGTAACGGTCTGTCGTCTAATGTCCATAATATCCTTGGAGGAGGTACACCAGTAGCCGCACATTTCAAAGCTATACTCTGACCAGTTCTTGTGACGGCCTCACTGAATGTAGATACCAACCTTGGCGGCCTATCTAAAACCCGGTCCAACGGTTAACAAATTAATATTAAAATTAAAAGAATTTCATTTTCTAAACGACAATCAGTTTTTTTATATTAAAATATTACCAGCAATAAGTAGTTCGGCGGCGGCGACAGCAGATTCCGTATGATCATGTACAGTACATTGATAAAGGCCGGCATGGTGAGACCTTACAGGGCCGATAGACAATCGTGATTGTGGGGCATGAAGAGGTCTTCCCTCGTGCTGCCAGCTCATCGTAACTCCACCTCCTCGTCCACCGTGTACTGAGCAATTAAAAAATCCAGTTGCTCCTGTTCCTAACATCTACAAGAGAATTTTGATTGAGTAGACTGAAAAAGGAGAGGCTTGAAAAGAAGTGGAAAGATTTTAGCCTCAAAAATAAAAGTTTTATCTTAATACCTTATTTCAAACTAATGGAGCCTTCATACCTATTTAGAAAAAATAAGTACGAAATTTCGCATTAAGCTAATTCATCCACAATACATTAGATTTATCAAACTAAAGGCCAAAAATTCCATTATTGTCCTTTTTATTCATTCTAAAATCTTGCATCAATAATTTTCCTTATATATATATAACAGCAATAATTTATTATTATTATTAATTTAGATGATTGAAAATAGAATAAAATTCCAATATAAGATGCATGCCATCTTAGTAAGAATAATACCATTCTTACTAAGATGGCATGACACGTGTCACTTGATAACGTAATATACGTATTGCTATTCATGTATATAGAGGACAATTATCCCTTACCATCAGGTACGGCTTTAGCATGTTTGCCATTAAAATATAATGCTATTCTATTCACATAAATAACTGTAAATTTACTCACCAGAGGATTGGGTGTAACAGTTAAACTCAATGGTTCATAAACCGTTAAGCGTATTAGCATACGTGGTGATGATTCAAGACCAGACGAGCAAGCATATCGACCAGCGTGGTGTTCCCTTGCATTTGGCATTATGAGTGCACCACTGCGCACTGTTCCTTCTCCTGTTGCTGCTGTCCAAGTACCGGTGGCATCCTGCCGCTGCCAACTATTCATTAAGTTCAGTTGTACTAAGAAATCTTAATAAAATTTTATAGATGCAGCTAATAAGCAAGTCCTAACTAGAAACCTCACGTGTTTAATATTACAATTTCTGATATAATATAACAATACAGTGTTAAGACGACGCAATAATTTGGAAAAAGTATATTTAGTTTACTATTGATACAAATAAAGAATATTCCTCATGTTATAATTGAATACTTTAGTAAAACAGTGCTATAATATGAATACAACAATGTTAGCCAAGCCATTTGCTTGCACGTTACCTTATTCAAGTCGTGAAAAATTATGCAATAAAATTTTTATTCTACCTTATCGTGTGACCAGTAACGTGTCTCAATATACATGGTAGTATTGCAGTGTCACCAGCTCGTGCTTCAACGGAATTTATTTCGACATTTTCCAACCAACTGCTATCTGTTAAAATGAATAAAGACAAAATTATAAAAACTTTCGATACTTTTGTTCCTAAGAATTTACTTATTTGAATAAATTTACTAACCATCAGTTGTAAGCTTCAAAGGTAGGCTCGGCATATCTAACGCTACACACGAATACTCAGCTTGAATGTCAGCTTGAGTTAGTTCGGACCCCAGTAACAGGCCCCCCGCTCCGGATATCCACCTCGAGTCTGAAGCAATACTTAATCTTAAGAGTATGTAAACACAAAGGAAAGTCACTAATTGCTTCCCGGATCTTGAAGCTTTCCGACCAATTAACTTCAAGTTCATGCAATTATGAAGAGTATCGTACGCCGAAGCAAAAAATGAACATACACTTTTTATAATTTATTTTCAGAAAAACAATATTTAATATTAGTGCAATTATATACATAATAATATATTATGCTTAAAAGGAGACTTGGAGCAGACATAGCCAGTGGAAGTAGATGACATACTGCTCCGATCCTAAGTATGAAAGCGAGACAATGATGATGAATAAATTTTATAATATTCTATATGACCTATATAAGAGTATAAAGAAATAACATACTTATCTAGAAAGGAGTACACTGACATTAGTTACTATTTTTACATATAAACAAATATACTCACCAGAAGCCAAATATCCCGATGACAATGGCAAACCATCTTGTAACCACGCGATATCCACGAGACCAACTTGGGGTGATACATCGCATCGTAGCACCACCGAGCTACCCACTTTGGCTGGAGTCAGCTGCCGTGCCGTATGAGATAGCACGTTATCTTCCACTGTATAAGTACAACAATTAAACTCTATAAAATAAAGGTGTACTTTTATATTTACTCCTACTAGATATTTAAATTTTCCTAATATTTATTTTAGTGTAATATGTATACATTTTATTTTTAAATATTATAGGACGCTATTTTTCTACATTTAACTATCCAAATTTGATCCGATCGTATTAGTTCTCTCAGCTAGTGGCGTACTAATTGGAAACATATACGTACTATGTAATATTATATATGTTTCCGTATTCTATCCGTTTCAAGCACAAAGTACATTACATCACCAAAAGCATCACTCGTGCTTTGTCTAATCGCATGGTATTAATAATTGAGCTAATGTAAATCTCGTACATTAGTACAATTTAGCTCTCTAACCTTGTGCAATATAGTATTTTGACAGATTTTCGTAGGTCAAAATCTCGTACAAACTTTATTGAAGATGAAAATGTCCTCGTACCAATTGCTAAAAATATCGTATTTGTACATAGATCTTCGTATAGTTCATCTCTGGATCAAACGTTTAAATGGAAATATAGCTAAGCAAAATACTTGGTACCTACAATAATTAATTATTAAGACAGTAGTACTAAGTATAATATTAATGAATACTAAAATAAACTAAATATATCAAAACACAAATATTAGGCATAACAATGACGCGTACCTTCTATAATAAATATTAATAATGTTAGTACATTAAATTGAGGAACATTTTATAAAAATCTTATGATAATAAAATATACCAGTCTCATTTTAATACATAATATAAAAGTCAAGCTTCTTTATTATAACTTTCTGAATGAAACAAAGAATGGATAGAAATATAAATAAAAGAATAATTGCGTCCGACATGGCTTTGTTTGCGAATCCATCTTATTAGCTTCGTCATCATTATTATTATATTATACTGTCCAATTGTGATTACATTATCTAAATTTTGTTAACAAAAGTGTTTATTTATCTAATTTCAATTTGATTTCATTATTATTAGAATAATTTCTACAGCTTTTTACTGGGAGTGAAAATTTATATTTTATTTTTATTTATAAATACATGTACCTATCATATATAGGTTTTGTTCTGTATTTAGTATTTTTGACTTACATATACAGCTGTGTATTATTCTATTTCTTGATGAAGTTACATTACGGATAAGCGCGTACCTACTATATTTCATACATGAGCCGCAAGCATTATATTATTTAGCAATATATTCAAATTAATTTTTATCGGCACTTTTCTAACTTATTGAGACACATCCTAATTAGCGAAAGTGTCTTTGTCTGCCTGTCCGTCTATTCGTTATCTTTTCACGACGCAGTTAGTACTCAGTTTAGCTGAACGGATTTTAATGAAAGGCCGAAATTGGAATGTCACTTGAAGTTAGTGTATGTACGTCCTCGTAAAGGTTTATTTATATAAAAAATAAACGAAGTAGCGTGTAATAGCTACTAAGTTTTCATCAAAGTAGTTTATTAATAAAATAATGAAAAATTTTATTAAAGTTTAAAACAATGTAAATAAATATTACTTATAACATCAAAGTGTCGAATATTTCTTTGAAACTCATTTGAATGAGAATAAGCTTCTTCTGCGCCCCCATTTGTTGCCTTTCAATTCTGCCTTTGTTACCGTCTTCATTGTAGAGAAAAATATTAAAATATGATAAGTAAAATCTGTAACTTGAATACTAGTTTCCCAAGTTGCTGTAGGATTTCTTTATGGTCTTTGTCGAATAATTTCAATATACGAAAGTAGGCTATATTATCGTTACTATACGATACTTATAGACTACATGTAATGTGATAATATATAAAAATATTAAGTAGATATAAAATTAGTAAATATTTAAATGTGGAAAGGGCGGTCAGAAAAAACAGAAGAGAAAAATATAATTCAAAACCAGATCTACCGATTTACTTTGGACTAACTAAACTAATAATAAATTAATACATATTTTCAAGTAAGAAAGACGAAGTATTGTTGTAATAAAAAGATAAAACTTATATCAATCTATGTATATTATGTTTTTTATCCCATATTTATTTAAATTATTATATAATGAAAGAAAGGTATTGCTAGAAAAAAATACTTTTCGAATATATCAGGCAAGGGTGCAAACTTCAATGTCAGGATAATTGTTTAATAAAGCTGTTGTGAAAAAAAAACATTGTTAATAAAACAAAATTATTTTCAATAAAGAAAATGTTGGTTTCGTTATAACGAGGTTATTTTTCCGAGATGAGGAACATAATGTCGCTCAATCTTTAATTAAAACTTTCCGAGTCCCTCGGTGGAAAAAGTAATTGGACTGAAAATATTCATCTTTTCAAATTCCTAATATTTAGGTTCGAAGGGAACCAGAATATAATTACGAAAACAATGAATATTCATACATTTTAATTATGTAGATAGAGGTGTATTTAGTCATAATAAAGTTTGTTATAGATAACAGAAATAAGTATGTTTGTAAGTTCGAATCTGAAAATATTATTTTTAGTATTTAAATACTATGATATTGGATATAATTTAAGAATAAGGGATACAATAACATACTTAAATTGACTTTATTTTATACTATGTATGATATATAGATTATTGTTTTTGTTTATTAATTTCCCAAGCCCATTCTTGACTGAGTTCGCAATTAGTATGTCGTAGTAGTATTAAATTAAAATTAAAACAATGACTATTTAGTACTTGTGGGACTAATTTCTTACCATTCCATGTACTCAACGTGCTGGTGCCAGATCCCATCGTAAGTTCTTAGCATCAGCACAAAAAAGTAGCATTAGTGCAAATCACTAATGCTACATTTTTGTTGCTCTAACAATAAGTATTATTATATCTCATATTCTCTAGACTTTCACTGGTATTAGGTACTATTCCACTGATCACTTTTTGATGTTAACAGTGCTCATAATATATCCGTGATCATGTCATATACAACTGTCGCAGAATATTTCCGGAATAGAAATGTAATAGTTTATTCTCTTCTTTGATGTACGAAAAACTTAAGTCTATATGCGGCACGACTATTCCTCAAAGTTTAAAAAAACATTTGTATTTGTTTGTTGTCATTTGAAGAACTTATCAAAACATAAAACGTTCAAATCTGCTGAAGCACCCAATTGCAGTAAGCAAATTATGTCATTCAAGGAGACTTTAATGATGGCATCATTAAAGTTTCCTTAAAACACTTATTTTAAGTGCAAGGTCTTAAAATAAGTGTATTAGTGTTGAAATCTTTGAAACTATACCTGGCATCATAGTTTTAAATAGGTGTATGTCTTTCTTTTTTGAAAATCAATTCTTGTTTATTATTTTTATTAATTTACTAATATTTTATATCATAATTTTATATTTCGCTAAGTTAAATAATTTATAGGTATAGGACTTTCGGATATCTATGATAGTTATAGTTTTTAGCTACTTCAGTTTAGAAGAACTGACAAAAAATTCGCCCTATATGATAAACATTTTTTATCCTATTATTTTTTTTAATCAGTTTTAATTTAATTTTTAATTACATGCAAAATTTTACTCTTATGTGTATTAAATACAAATAATTCCACTTAAATATATATATATATATATATATATATATATATATATATATATATATATATATATATATATATATATATATTTGTTACCTATCACTTATACTCGTTTTATTACTTATATTCACTTCCTATACCGTACCGTACTATAACTTTACTATAGTAATGTACCAATTACTATTCCATTTGAAGAGAATTCCAAGAATTAATTTTGTAACATACTAAATTTAGCTGAGACAGATAGGTACTTTTATAAAGTCTTCGGTAAAACTAATCAAGTTATAACAAGCCCTAATATAAAAGTTCACAACTCACTTTTACTCACTACTTTTAGGTTATACTCAACTATTAAACTTGTATCAGAATTTTCCTTATAGACATTCCACTAACAAAAGAAAAGTTACCTTGTTGCAAACTCACTGTAATGTCATTTTTAATCCCTTAATTAAAAGTTTTCGTCTAAAAAAACTCGAGCGGTCGTAGGCTATTTTTCATTTTATTCCATATTTCCCCGCCGTGTAACGGAAAGTTAATTGGTCCAACTCGACTCGAAGTTGTAATTTGTTTAGCCCTCTTCTCGTACATCTGTTTATTACAAGTCAGTTGTTTGTTTTGCACACTTTTTTCTAAATTTTTATTATCTTCAGCGTAAATGAGGCTCCGAGATGGAACACACCCAATCAATAACATGGAAAGTAAAAGAATTTTAAATATTACTCCGAAACTTTTGAAATATGTCTACCATGAGTAGGCTTAATTACTCATTTTATGTACATCGTTTTGTAAAATTCAGTAAGTTTACTTAATTCCATAAATCAGGAACAAACATTGAAGGAAAAAACTGTCAATAAAAATCCTAACTAATTTCTCTAATAAATACCCAGGCCATGTGCAAAGGTGAAAAATAACTAAAAATAAATAACAACGTATAACGTATTTTTTATACATTAAGTACTCGTATAGCTTCTGATAGAATTGCTTGCTTTAGAACTATAAATTTGACAAACAATAGAACAATAGACTACGGACAGATTGACGACTTAGACGATAGTATAATATATAAATATTTGTAAACGTACAATATATTATGAAATGGGTTCAGATCATCAATAAAACTGAGGTCACTAGGGAAACTAATTTATTCAATTTGGTTTTCTTTATTGAAATACAATTATAATGAATACTTTATCTGACTAAAATAAAACGCAAACCAACATAGGTGTATGTGTATATATAATATGAGACAGACATTAGAAATAATTCTGTATTTCCATCGGCAAAAAAAAAACGCGATAAACAGTCTACAATATTGCTGAAACCATAACCTCACAAGTGCGTATGACACGTAATGCAACGCAATATTTTACGAAAGAAATCATGGTTTTGTAATTATTTTTTCAAATTCAGACCTGTATGTTAATTCTGACCCGTGTTCACATAAAAATATTGATGACATTAACATCTTTGTTACATACATATGCGCTTGCCCTACCTTTCTGTTTCTACATGTGTCTGTATTTATAAACTATTTTTATAAATGACTTAACTATACGTATTTAAATTAAACACTTTGGTAAAGTAGCTTCAATATCGAACAATTGCTTTAACGCAGGTAGCGTGTAGTGTTATAGATCTTACCAATACTAGTATCTAACTATAGAATATTGTCGTTTATATTTTCATAGTACCCTTATAACATCTCTAAACATCAAACAGTACTCTTGAGAGTAGTGCCCCGACCTTACAATAGATGACATAACAAAGGGTTGAAAGGTTATCTGATTTGTAAACAGAACTCTCTATTCACTAATTTCTCCTATTAAGCCTAATGATTTTGTGCTTCAAAGTTTTGAATTAAATCAGTATCCTATCTATAACATCTTTATTTATATTAAAATCTATGACAGATATTACCCATATATTATACTTATCTAATACAAAATCTTTTTATCATCTTGTAATCATATTTGTAAATTAGATACGGCTTTACGTGCATGGAACCAGTCCTCGTTTGTTCTTGTTAAAATTTCGATCTACATTATGAAAAAAAAGCAGTTCACTATCCATAAGGTTTATTTTCATATTTTCGTTCTTTATGTGTTATTTAGAATATTCCTATATGTAGCGTAGAAATTAAAAAAAGGATTACAATTATTTAGTTAACGTCTAGGTATGACAGTAACAGTCACTATACATTTAGATTCAAAATAGGCACTTACCAGGTTGTAACAATACTGGTCGAGACAGTACAACTCCCATACGGTTTGAAGCCCTGCATCGTAGTATAGCACCGCTAGCACCGCTACCAGCATCCAAAAGCGATCTTCGGGCACCAACTACAAGTCTACCATCCGGCAACACGTGCCTGGGGACAAATAATTAACATTCTTAGTTTGAAATAAAGAATTATTTGAAATATTTTTGCTTTATATAGATAAAGCATAGTAATGTTGATATTAAGCAGGATAATGTTGATTATAGTAAATAATTTTCCCTCTTACACATAACGTTGTTATAGAAATTAAAATTCTTTATTTTAAAGTAGCACAATTATTACAAAATTCTATATAGTTGTTGAAACCTTCTTTTAGCTTATATAGTAAGTTTTGAACTAAATATTTGTAATTTATTATATTTTCTTTTCTTTATTTGTATAATTATATTTTAAATGAATACATTATAGGACTCTGACTGAGAATGTGCGTGGCTTGAAATTAGTATGTTGTATGTGTCTGTGTAATATGTGGGTATGCGTGAGTGTGTGTATATAGAACTAGTAAGAACTCAACAAGTTTTGAAAGATGATTATTCTATTTAATTATTGTGAAGAGTATAGATAAGATACTGGTCTGTACTTCCTTGCCTACAGTCACAAACTTTTAAAGACAACCCACAATTCAATATTTAACTGTCTTTTATATAATCTTTAAATAATCTACTTACATCTTTTTTAAATGTTACACAAGCAACTTCGTTTAGTGCTCAGTAAGAATGCCTCTTACTTTGGTCATATCAGCAAAAGTCAGCACCGCTACTAACGTATAACTTTAGATAGAACTTCCCTCATAAAAGTGTTACGATGGGGAGTTGGGACTCATCCCTAACTTAGTTACGTACTTGTAATTTGATACCCATAAAAAGAACAAGTCCGAAAATGGAGAACATTTTCTATTGAAAGCACATAAGAGGCCTGATTAGTTAAATTCAAACAGATATCTTCATTTCTGTTGTAACCAAAACAAAAATTAAGATTACAATCTTGATTTTACCAACATAAGAATATAGCTATCAATATTTAAGACATCTCTATTTGAAATAATTCCTTCGTTACCTGTTATATCAATATGTACATAATAATGTTATATATTGTGTTGTATATCGGGTAATACGTAATAGAATAAATGGTGTTGATAGAGACGTCTACTAGGCTTCATTATTCTCGCTGTATTAGGCTACACAGCGAGAATCATTATTCATCATTCATCGTTTATCGTTATTCTACTCCCTTTTTAAATATCAGTATTAACTCCACAGCTAGTTTTAAATCTGCTTTAAAATACTTTGTTTCATATATCAGAGTAATATTAATATTACACTGATATATGAAACAAAATTTATTTTACATACAATCATATGTTCAAAAATAAATAACATATATATGTACGTTTCGACAGTATAATACTTAAAATGAATACTTTCCAAAGAACTATTTCACCGTCACCAAGATAGGCATATTGAATCTTGATACGTTCAACGTTATATGACAGGCTATCTACAGATTTTTGCGATATTCGATCACTGCCAATTTTCCACTGACAGACACGAGTCACAGTTTTAATACACATTGACATGGAAATCTAATTTTCTGCTTCAATGTTTTGGTATTCGTCTATCTTCACTGAACAACATATTCTGAGAAGGTCTAAAAGTAAAATAAAATAGGAAAAAGGAAAATGAGCCCAAACTTAAAGGTACGATTCCTTATGTTTGTTGGTCCGAGAAATATTAACCTCATTTTAACATTAAACAAGAAAAGTTCTTTTATATAAGTTAGTTTCAAAATACTGTCATATCTGTGTACTTACATTGAAATTTAAGAAATAGTGGTTTATAAATTTCTTGTAATGTTGTCGTGCATTTCTTAATCGAATTTGGTATTTATGTATTAGAAAGATGAGACTATGCCATACTCACTACTTGTACTATATTTATGTAAGAATTGTATGAAATATAAAATTATTTATAAAGTTACATACATATTGTTTTTAAATTACTACAAATCAAATCAAAATATCTTTATTCCTGTAGGTACAGACTCTTACGATATGTCAATACTACCATCGGTTCGGAATGCTTTTGAGTTGAGAAATGACAAGAAACTATTTAATACAGTATAAAATGTTACTCCATTTTGTACTGTATTAAATTCTACATGTTTATTAGTATAGACTTAACCTTACTTAATATGTTGCTTCAGTTTTTGGTCCTACACATTTATATATATTACTATATACATTTTAACAGTTTTCTACTATTGCCATCAACTATTATTTTTATTCTGTTATATAAATGATCTAGATAAAACAAGACAATCATTATATAAAATAATACCCTACATGTCTCAAACAGGAACGTCAAACACTTGACGATATTTAGTACCTACTTAGTATTCTCTGAAGGTAATGGAACTAAACAAAACTATACTTATCCGGTATCTATACTTGCAATTGGTTCGTAAGTTAACCAAATCAACATTTAAACAGGTTCACAGGTAAAGGTGTCCTAAGTTTGCCGCAATCTAGGAAACAGCCAATACTGTGGAATTAGAGTTAACATAACCATGTTAACTCTAATTCCGCAGTATTGGCTGACACGTGACATATAACTAACTAAAACCATATTAACATATGCTGAGTCCGATTTAATTACATATAAGTATAAACATGTATATTCTATAACTTCCTCAATTTTTTGGTCTATACTGGATTAAGCATAACAGAATATCAAACCTAGAGCCAATAAATATAAACTGAACAGCTTCTCAAATGTATATAAATTACGCAGTCAGGTCATGAATTTAATATAAAAAAATAATTATCTTTAAAAACCTAATAACTTTGGTTGTAACTTTGAGTACAAAATGTATGTACAACTGTAATAGTTCAAATGCGTTTGGAGAAAATTTTGATTTCTGGACAATTATAGTATAAGAGGCGGTAATGATATAATATTGACTTGATAGATTGGTGGTACTTAGATCACTGAAGAATATGGATAGTACTAACGTGCCGTGCCCATTTATTGCCATTCACGTGCTATAAGTCAAGTGTCGCCGTTATCATTTCTTGCACGCTCACTCTGCCGTATTTTAAGGTAGTAATTTTACAACATCGAGCAAGCTTACAGGTATAAATATTACGAAGTCTATATAGAAGATGTCTAAAACACGTTGAAACGATAAAATTGGTAATTTGTGAATAAGTAGAGAATTTTAGCTGCCGAATAAATGTAAACTGTGTTCAACACGATATTGTAATCTGCTATTATAACTTTATAACACTGTTCCTTGGCTACATGTATAACTTTAATAAAAAAATATTACAAAGTTCATGATTTTTTTATTGTAAAACTTTCTTGTTCTCACGGAACAATAAAGAGTAAATATAAAACGTAGTGGTTTCTATATTTTTATTGAAATACTTTTTTCTATTTGAATTTAGAATCATAACTTTTATATCGAAAACATTTTTGATTCCATATTTAAATTAAATTATGATTCAAATCATCATTTTGGCGCGCATTTTGATCAAACACCACAGTCACTAGGTGCAGAACACTCACACTACGTTGCATAAGTATACGACCTATGAAAATTTAACTCTCGTCACCATTTTAATATTCTAAGTCTGAATTTCTTCTTAGATAGTAAAGCGATAGATATATAAGATATTACATAATATAGTACAATAAATAGTATAAATAATATTAGTTCTCTTCGTAAATAATATTAAAAAGAATATACTAAAAGAAAGTACATAGTAAGCTTTTCATTTTCCATTCCAAATAGGTACATTTTCAGAAAAATACATGCGATATTTCAAGTCGTTAAAATTATTCTTGCGAAGTGGAAAAATGACAAAAGATTGCAAAGTCCGCCAGTTTATTCACTATCTTGTCGTTAGATACTGAACGATGGTACAAGTTTGTGAAACACCCGTAACACATTCGCCGGAATAAGCCACCGAGATCTGTCTACCGATTGTTATTTATTACCTCCCTTCCAATAGCTATTGAACTATTTGCGATTAAATATGTGGCTGAAACCTACTTTATCTGGCCATCAAGATAAACGACAAATAAATAACAAAATTGCTTAGCAGTAATTTGTTACGTATATATATGTATATGAAGTATAACAGCACTATAATTTTCAAAATCAAGTCACTATAGGATTATTACCGTGATTCTTAAAATATATTTTGTTTTGCAGCCATTTACATATTTGTTTTAATTAGTTACTTCAAATACAATGCGATAATGACAGTGTATTAAATTTGTTAAGCTAAGTTGATATATAAAAACATTTTTTATTGTATTATATATGATTAAATCTTTACTTCTATATCCAATTTAAATGTACCTAAGTAGAATGTGCCAAAAAATCTCAAAGAAACAACAAAATTTTTATTTTGTTCTAGTAAAGCTGTGGAAAACAGTCATTTCTAACCATTTATAAGTATACGTAAGAGAAATATCGACAAAGTTGTGCGCTCGACCGATACGTCGAACCGGCACGTTTTAGCTTCAAAACTTACTTGTAACACATGTGGTAAAAGCTCTGCCGTTTCATTAGGTTCCCCTTAGTTGAAAAGTACAATTGACGCAGTGAGGTTCATTTCTCTTTTCTAAACTGTAAAGTCAAAGAAGCGTTTCCTGTTCCTACGTGGTTTTATACAGATTATACCTTATATCTATGTAAGTTTCATCAATACATTAAGAAGTGCACAAATAATATTAAATATTATTAATAATATTAAAGAGTCTAAAAGAAATTTTCTAGAATAAATCAATCATCATATTATTGGGTATAAATATAACTATTTGTTTACGCCGTACACGTATATATTTTTTTAAATATTTACGTATTCTTTCCCTATGCATCGTTAATACTAATAGTTCGTTTAGTACTCTATTTTACTCACACGCATTCTTGCATCTCGTTTATGCATAGTTAACTACCAATATAATAGTAAAAATACGCGCGCGTTTTAATTTGCATAGCTGTGTGACTCACGCTTACACATCCCTGATATGTCCTTCCTTATCCATTTTCCTGAAACTATGCAAGATGTCAAAAACAAATAAGAATTTATTAAATCTTCCGCCCAGTTACCGTCATTGCTATATAATCTCCGTTCGCAAATATTATTATCGCCAACATATAAAAACAATTGAGTATTAAGTTCTGTGTTAAAAATATATTAAAGACATTATTTAAAATTAGCTTGGAGTACATTATTAAAAAGAAAACCAGTGCCGTTCACCTGTATCATCATGAATGTTTATCAAAAATTCACCGGTGAGCTCTTTCATACCTATTCACTACATTATTAGATTCTATATAAAAATTCCTTTTTTATGTAATTGCTGACAAGGCAATAAAGGTCATGACAAATTACATGAATAGCACTACGATCATCACGTAATTAAAACATATATATATTAATATGACGCCTGTGATACCAATCTTTCTTACCATTCCGGAGGTCTAACTTATGCTTCATATCCTGTAATTTCAATGCCTTTTCTCACATTACAACGAAACACAGCTTATAAAACTATTTGGTGGCTGAAATGGGTGCGACAGAGGTGCCAACGCATATAACTTTTGCACCTCTATAGGTCTCATCTCTTGACTTTTCAACTTGACCTCGATAAAAATACCTACTGTGTCAGTGAATAAAATTTAGCTCAAAATTCACTATGTTTAAATTAAATTAAATGCTAGCCGCTTAACTACGTCCCGCTAAAGTGACAGACAATTAAAATGTATGATTGAAATACCTAGTTTGAATCTAAATACTCTCTAATTAATTTTTAATGAATGTTACTGAAGAGAAATATCAGTGTAAATTGGTATAGGAAATATAGTATATTTTGTATTAATATGCCAATATATTTCAGTAGCAATTAGAAGTTAAATTATATGAAAGAACAGACATTGAGTATTTTATAAATAATGAATGGCAAAATGGAGGCATTTCTAAAACAATATTTTCCAATTAATATATTCTATATATACATTGTACCTATTACTATCAATGTAGCATGTTAGGTCAATATGCACGGACTATTCTCTTGAAACTTTCGTGATAAATTTGTGCTACTGACCTCACGCTAGTGCTAGTGTATCCTTCCAGTATCAGCGATAAAAATTTCTACATGTATATTTACAAATATACTTATGCCAAAAGAAAAACTTCTGAACCAACGCGGTAGCTAAGAGTTATTCTGTTCTTAAAATATCATTAGCTAAATAAAGTTGAAAACTTGCAAGTAACAATACGGAGAGTACAAAAAAGCTACATGTTGGAGCGCAGTTTAAAAGCTGGATATTTTATGCCAGATGTTTGCCTTTAATTACTTCTATCAAAGTACAAAATGGTTAGATCTTTTAAATTGTTGTAAACTCAATTATCCTATTATAGTATTATTTTATTACTTGTGGGATATTAAATTTTACTACCGTTTGGTATATTTAATCTTAAAGAAACCAGATTAAAAAAATGTAATTAATACTTTTGCCTAAAAATAACACATTATGTGACAAACAATATTGATTCAATTTTTATAAGAAATAATAGATAAATAATTATTGCAATAAATATTTTTGGTGTGCGTATTTCACTCGGTATAACATTTTCAGCACAATAATAAAATTAAATTAAAAATCGACTTAGAAATTCAAACTATTTAAACGTAAAATTAATATAGCGAGTGATTTATTAATAAACAACAGAAGTTTATATCAGTATATTGATAATAAAAATGTTGTGTTGTTATCTTAAAGACTGATAATTCAATATCCGAATAAACTACAATTAAATATGATCGGTAACGAAAATCAACAACTCGTACAATTAATACACAACGAAATATTCAAGTCATAATCACGGATTCATAATAGAGAGTAAGTATTCAACTCGAGTGTTGGCAGTAAATATTAACTTGCCTTCTCCCGTATAGCTTTCTTGTAAAATATAGGTGAACTTCTAGTAGTTTATTTAATGGAGCTGTCGTCGACTTTCGCTGTAACTTTACTAACTCCCAATTTCTAAACTAATCGAAAAGATCGATTAGTTGATGAGCAAAGTTTTTAGTGTAAGTACTATTTGTTGTGTACCAGTTTTCAAGTTAAAAATTTGTACGATACTAAAATTTTGGCCTACATTGTCTATATTGGTTACATTTCATTCACAACATACATTTGTAGAATAATTTAATACTAGATATAGGTAGGCTTTTAATTAATTATTATTAGTTCATGCAGTTATTGTTGCAAAATTAAAAACATAATAGGACAGCATTTTAAAATCTACTCTATTCGTTAGAAAGCACGACCGAGGCAAGTTTGCTACTAAGGATTAAGTTTAATATTAGTTAGTGCTATGTTATTTTGATTTCTAGTTAAGTTAAGGTATTACAGTTATTATGATAGTTCAACTTGAGATTAGATGTTAAAGATTAAAGACTGTGTGTGGTTAGTGTGGTGACGTATATATTGATGGTAAATATGTAAAATTTATTGTACTGACAACCCTAGACATTTTTAAAGTGCTGCCACACTGTAAGATTGCACTTAAAAAAATGTCATGGCGTAAAGCTCCTCTGTGTAATGTAAAATAATAACTACTATTTCCTAATCGTAATAAAACCACTGCAAACTATAAAATAAAGTAGTGTCTGATATATTTAAAAAACACCCAACAACATATATCACATGCTTAATACAATACTAATAAAATATTAATAATTAATATTTTTTAAACTACACCTTAATATTATTAATTACGGTTAGATTTGACATGTCATAAGAGTCTGTAACAGACCTACACGAATAAAGATATTTTGAATTTGAATTTGAATTAAGGCTAAAAGTCTATATCCCATAATTTGAAATTTTTGAGTACATATAGTATCGTTTCACGTTGAGATATTAACTATAATACACCATACACTCGTGAAAAGACAACGATATTTCGTGATATACATGTAATAGCAATTAATTAATTTGTCAAATATCTGAAAGAAATATCTGATTTAATTTTTATTGATAATTTCTGTTTTAATTTTATTTAATGTGTAATATATTCCAGTTTTCTTTGCAAAAATGTAATATATGCTTCAGCTATGACTAATAAAGAAGTCCGCTGTATCATTACCCCTAAGATCGATAAGATTATCAACAGCCCCATCCGATCGATCCCCCATCCAATTCAAACGGGGATCGATATTACAACGGTCTGAGCCGAGGTCCGAACGCCTAGCGATGCCCTCAACCTAAGGTCGTATCCGTCAGGCAGGAGTTGGCCTTCTGCGGGTTTGGAGTGCTGTCTGCACTCGCCCCCTTACGTCTGATGAAGCTTTAAAAGCCAGCCTACAGCATTAGAATAATCCGAAAAAAAAACTATCAACAGAGACAACGCGTCTTGTATTGGGAGGTACGGGTTTGTTAGTAAAGTAAATGATTTTTCCCATTACTTTTAATGTACCATGTTTGGTTGACCTCGACGCGCTTCTCCTAGGCTTTCTTGAGAGAACCGTTATAAATTCCTGGTTAATATGTCACTATGGGCTAACTGATCTGATCTCAGGTACATCTTATCATCCTCCACTGGTGACCCGCCACCGTAAACCATTACTGCGGGCGAGTGCACCACTCTATTATTATATTAAAAAAACACATAATGTATTAATAAAAGCTTGTGAAAATTCTTTACCTAAGGCCAGGTATTGTCGTCAACAGTTGTCCCTCAGCTGTAACCCAATGTAAGTCAGGTGTTGGATGACCTGTGGCACGGCAAGCTGCGTACGCACCGCGCGTAGCGGGCCATAGTACCCGAGATGGCGGTTCCTGCACAAAGTGCGGCTTCTTGTCTGCCGTGCTCGCAGCTTGCACCACCGCTATCGCGATGAACGTGCATGAGATCGCGAAACCTATATGAAAGAAAATTGTTTAATATAATTAATTTTTAAAATTCGTCAGATAAAACAATTGTCCCAGCAAAATTAATAGTGCGGGACCAATATTAAAAATCAAAAATATCTAATACAGCATACTATGAAACTCATTCTTCTATTGCAGACACGTCACGCGGTTTGGAACGTCTTCGTTTTAGCATTACATTAAATTATTTTACACGATTTCTTGTAAAATTAAAGAAAGTAATTATGAAATATAAGAAATGTTCAATATAACCAATAAAATTATGCGAAACTTTAGGTATTGTATATAATACATGAGGTATTCAAAACTACGTACGTTTGAAGTAAAATGCTTCAGATTTTTAACTATAACGTCGCGTGTAAATATTCTTGCAATAAATTTTGTGAGAAGGTAGGTACAACATTCCCAACCATAAAACAAAGCAAAATGCCACCAATAAGGCTATTCAAATCAGCGGTTCCCAATAGGTAATTCCAGGAATATCAAAGGCTCATGCTACAAAACAAAGTTAGAAACCCATAATAAATTAATACTTATCTACACAAGTGTGATCAGTATTATATTTATAAGTTTGGAAGTTTCTGCTGAAATTATATTTTAAAGAGTTGTGAATTTTTATTTTAAAATAAACTCGTGGTTTTAAAATTCTGAGAATTATAAATGGTAAAAAGAATATTAAAATTCATGATGAAACAATGGAAATTCCTTCGTTAATACATGATATTCGTTGCGTTCGTTTTATTCTTCTCTTTTTATTGGGGTTTTTGGTTTCACGTCATTTTACTAATACACAATAGGTCGGTAAACAATATTTGTTTCACGAAAATATTTGCACGTACCTAAACTTGTATTTGATCAGTTAGTTGCACTTGCATTATTAATGAATAGTTGAATTTTCATTAATATAATAGTATGAATATTAACTTACATAATAAATAAATATGTGCCTATATATATATATATATATATGCATATAATAAAAATGTACCTAGTTGTTGTTTGGAAACTATAGGAGCAAAGCTAATATTAGATGATTTGATGATGAATATAATCATAATAGAATTCAAAATAATAATTATTAAAAAAAAATTCTGTTACTCTCTGCGTTAGTCTGCTCTGATCGTAGAAATAACAACTGAAGCTTAACCGAAAATTTTGTGTTTGTTGTGTTTCGAATTTACTAAAAAAAATATTCCAAATACCGCGGGTATAAAGTCACAAGTTCAGCTAGTGATACAATATAACCAAACTATATAGATATAATATAACACATATTCGTAATAAAGCGATGTTAAGACACTTTAGATGTCTCAATTCGGAAAAAGAGACGCCTTCAATTTACGTTTGTCATTACGCTGTGTTTGTGTGTATTTTCAACCCTTTGTTTCATTAAGTAGCAGTCTAGCTACTAAGCAATAGATAGGTAGAACAGGTAGTGTAGAGTATTTAAATGCAACTTTGCATTTAATAGGTTCCGATATTGTCAATATACTAGATATTAAACACTCTGTATTTCAAATATCGGGAGAATATTCGTTTTATTGTAGAAATTAAGGTTCATTTTCAAAATGTTTGTGTGCATTTTCAAATGAATCTCATTTCGGCATATATAATATTTTATAACCAATTAATATTGGGTTTCGAATATTAAAGTAGGTAATCCATGTTTATATATGAGATTGATATAGGATTTCTATGAGTGAAATTCAGACGATAGTATATGTTCAATAGCATTACTAATAATATGTCTATATTTAATACAACAAAATTACCATTAGCGGTTTTGATATATATATTTCATAAATATGAAATAGTAAAAAATAAGATAGTAGTCACGTCATCATCTGCTTCTTCATTATTCCATTCGTTTGAGGCTGGCGAAATCTGTTTTTCTCTTCCATTCACCCCTCTTCGCAGCCATCTTGTTATTCGTTTTTTCCTTTCTTGCCTTAACATCTTTCACACAGTCCATCCATTTTTTTTCAGCCTTCCTCTGCCCTTATTATCAAATATTTTAAAGAAAATTTTATATATGAATGTTTATATGTAACATTTTGTTTAAAATATTCTCTTCATTCCGATTATATCCGACACGGACGCTACTTTTATCTTCCTCTAATATATTTATTCTATCTGTTGGCCATTCTTGTCACACCACATATCCATCTGAACATTCATATTTCAGTTCTATGCACTTGCCTTTCATCCGTCATTTATATAGTAGCCATATATATTAGTAAATATATTTGTACCGATCTTATTATGGCTTATTTAATTAGTTGGTTGGTTATAATAATAAGAACCCAAAGAAGAAGAATATGGTGGTTAATGAAATACATTAACACCGTATTACGCAATTATAATATACCTAATAACACTACTTTAATTGGCTAATTAATTAAATTACTTGATATAATTCTGAAATATTGAATACTGTTAAAATTTATTCAATTTTTTAATGTAGCATTTTCCTGTTCGGGAATAGAATTAAAACATAAATTACATGTAATTTAAGTAATTGTCTGTAATTGTTAGTTGCTCAAATAAATTTATGAAAAAGTAAATCAGGCGGTTTCACACCTAAATTTTCTCTCTCTCTCTTCCTCAGAAATCACTGTTGAGAGGTGAAAACCTCATCAAAAGTCTTTTTTGAGTTTATTGCAAACATACAAACAGACATGACAAAAATATACTACAAAAAGACCACCAACTCTCATTAAAGCTTAAAACTATACTAAAGATATATGCAGGTCGAAATATGATAATAATGTTTGAACCTTTATTCCACGGGGTATCGTGATCGATTTAGTGATGGATTACTCCTTTAGGGTTCCTTAGAACGCTATTGTTATGCCAACAATGTCTATCTGTGACGGGCTTCTAAACGAAATAAGATAGGGACTTGATATATACATAAATATAGTATCTAATACAGAGCCCTGAAGCCGGAGAAAGTAACAAAAGCTTGAAAACGGTTTACTTGGGGGTATATAAACCCTTGGGACAGCAACCATTCGAACTCCATCACTTATTTGAATCCTCTTCTCCATTTGAACCATGGATGAACTCGACTACTGTACTATCAAGGTTACTATTCCGATATGACAATTTATTATTATATAAAAAAATACTTAGACAACTAATCAAAAAGGGATTAGTATTTACGGTAATATTGTATTTACCAAAATGTGTAATTTAGTTTGGAATTTATATATGTAAACAAATGTAAATAATGGACTGTGAGAAGATGTGTGATACCTGAGAAACAGTATAATTCTATACTAGTTCAGAGTTTCGACAATCTTCGCATTGTGTCTTCGTGTTATTTAGAGAAACAACAATGTTTCCATTTAAAAAATAACCAATCGCAGTAGCTGTCAACTTCCCAAATGTACTATTATACCTATATGAGTAAATGTATTTTCATTGTTAAATACAACTTAACTATGTAATAAAACCTTTTGCAATTAAATTACTATTATTATTATTTATCATATACCATTTATATGATTTAATCACATTTACATTCTCAGAAAAATAAATATAAATGTTGAATAATAAACCTTAAACACGTTTTTTGTTTGTTGCATCACACTTACTTGACATTTCTCATTATAGTTCACCAGATTTACATAATATCCTGTTAAATTATAGTCTATATGTTATTCTGATGTATACGCTATATACCTGTAAAGTTTTATCAAAATCCGATCAGTAGTTTTTGCGTGAAAGAGTAACAAACATCCATCCATACTCAGAAACTTTCGCATTTCTAATATCAGTTAGATATTCTATACATATCTTGGTGAACGTTATGCATATGCATAAAAGTGCATTTAAGCGTTATTTTCAAGATTTAGTACCGTGTCGTTCATAGTGGGCCATAACATAAATCAGTGAGAGAGGGTTCGTTTATTTACTGCCGGCCGATTGCCACCGCGACCCATTTTGCTGAAAGCTACTACGCTTTTTAAAGAGAATTATCGTATCTCATTAAATTTGGGTCCTGTTGAATAATTATTATGTGTCAAATTATACGGGTTTTTAATTTGTTTTTCCCAATATCAAATATTGGTATATGTCGCTCTTGTTTATATTTTAAAATTATTCTTATCAAGAATTAATGCAATTGTTTACTAAAGCTTCTGATATTTTAAAATTGATGGAAACCTTTTTCTAGGTTGTGTAGGTACTAGACATTTTAAAATAGAACAAAATGAATTCAATAAATCATATTGTATATAAGGATATATGTAGTGCTTCGTTCTTTTTAAATTATATTTCATAAGTAACCTTAAAACAATGAAACAGCTTAATACATTATCAGTGTAAAACTAGTAAATTGTTTTATAAATATATAATATAAAGAGAGAAAGTACCGATTTTTTTAGGAGAAAAACATTGCATTTGAGAAAATTATACATACATGTTTTATATATATATATACAAAACTCTGTATATATAAAATTTTGAGAATACGAATAGAGCCGGAGACTAGTTCTTTTATAACATAGTTAACTAGTTTTATTTCATCTATCATACAAACAAACTATAAATTATACATTATGGTACCCATGATAGTTTTACTAGTCTTATTACAGGTATATAATGCAATAATACAAGCAAAGAAGAACGATGACCATGATTTGAAAAAATACTTAATGGGAACTTTGATATCTGTAAAAGAAGAGGACGAGTGAAAAAAATGCATGGACTGTGTAAAAGATAATATGTCTTTTCATAAAACGAGAGTATGCTCCGATATGACGGCCAATAGGGATCAGTCGAACAAGGTGACATATTGCCAGCCCCAGTAATAGAATATAGACAAGTCAATGATGATAATTCATACTAAAAATAAATATTGGTAAAGAAATAACCAAATTTAGCTTTTAAATATGTCAGTAAAGATCTAATCATTGAAATTATTACAGACAAATATTGACAGTATTACATTATACAGTATTACATGACATTATGTTAATAGAAGATTATATCTTCTGTTAACATAATTACTGTCTTTTATTAGATTTAGACTAAATCGGAAGTATTTCTTTTTTATTTAATATAACCTCTGATATTCATAAGATATCAAAATTCTGCATATGTAGAATAATTATAGTAATGACTAAAAGTTTTTAAAATCAATTTATTAAAAAGTTGAGTGGCAAAATATAACATAATCAATACAGACTGATGAAATAAATAATTTTAATAATAAATATACAGACCTCTCATTGTTCACACTTTAGAACAGTTTTCCAAATTGCAAATAATATCAAAGTGTTCACAGAAAACAGTCAAGAGCACACATCTCGCGATGTATTCACTTCGCGGCATCGTATTATTCATCATTTGTGTAAATTTACATCGTATCGAGAGTTTACAAAAGTTTTCCCTCCATAAATATTGGAGGCAGAACACGTGCCTCCCGCCCAGCGTTGAAACGAGAACTGGCGGGCTATACTGACTAGGGATTGCGTTTGTTCTGCTGTCCAGGGTTGCCAATCTTAAAATAATTAGCCCTATAGGAAGAAATAAAAAAATGTGATAAAATCTCAGTTAGGCTCGCTAACCTCGTACGTCATAGGTATTTTGACGAATTTTCGGAATTCTCTTATAAACTTCAACGAAAGTGAAGATAATACTTTTACATTTCTTTGCTGATTTTAATATTTTATAGATCACATACAATTTCTAAAATCTAATAGTATTAACCTAATTTAGTAGTTAGTAGAAACAACACATAATGCGTTCACATAAAAGGCTAATTATCTCGTATTTGTATTGAGAATACTCGTACGATTGGCATCCCTACTTCCGCCCCTACGTTACTTAATACGGCGTTGTTCGCTCAACTTTCATAGAGCTACTTTGATTTTAACTAACCTTCCCTCTCTGACTTTTGTTAATGAAAATTCATCTTACGCAATGGTATTCTAATAGACACGTATCATTTAAGTATGTCATATTATTTTACTCTAATACTACAGTAATTATTAACACCATCAATATTATTTCAACTATTAAGCCTACTACTGCTACCTACTGTTCCTACCATTACTACATTATTAAATCCTACTACTATTATTAATAATCCTGCGATACAACACTTGCAGGATTATTAATTATAGTCGTAGGCGTAATTGCATTGATGGCTTGCATATTTGTATAGGAGACATATCTACTATATGTTTATAACATATATACTACCTATTGACCATAGACAAATAAAATATATGATTTATACATATATTTAAAAGACACCTGAAGACCGTGTAATATTGAGCTATCTGCATGCTGTATGTTTCAATTACAAATTACATTTCAAGAACCTTTTTCCTTAAAGTTTTCTTTTATATATATCCATCTAAAACATATACTTTATTACTACTCAACGTTGTAAACCTTACTCTAAAACAAAGAAACTATCTCGGCCATCAGACAGAAGATTACTTCAATCCGTTCTCGAGAACCACTGAATGAATGAATCTTCGTCTTATTGCAAAGCTCCATTGAAATGGAAACATTTAATTGCAAATGGCTCAAGGACACAGTTGCATTCAAATCGCCGCACAGCGGTTATGTCCGGACTAAACTGGTATTCTACGAGGATTGTGATAATAGCTATGAATACCAGATTATATTGTGGAAATTGAACATTTAGAAAATGTTCTATTTATTTACTATGCATTCACTTACTTAAAATTTGTTATATTTAGTTCTGCGATATTATAAACAGTACAAATAAAATACATAGTTTGTATAGTAACTATTGGTAATTGATTTTAAATATTTTGACTAACATTATATTTAGATGACGCTAATAATATGCTATTAAATGCAGATAAAACAAAGTGTATTAAATTTACACTCCCCAATATAAGGAAGGTAGACTTAAAAATCGTATTGAACAATAAACTTATGAACTTTATTGATGATACCTACCGTATTTATATATTCTGAGCAATGGGGTGCTCATATTTCTAAATTGGCGAATAGACTTAGTTCTGTCGCTTATGCGGTAAGAAGAATTAGACAATTGATGGATGTGGCAACGGCTAAACTTGTGTATTTTGGCTATTTTCATAGCATTATGTCATACGATATTTTATTATGGGACAAAGTAGCTTATATAAATACAGTATTTATTTTGCAAAAGAACCACTTCCGCTTCATGTACGGGTTCCAGGGAGTCTTTGCGTGAGTGTTTTAAAGAATCTAATATTTATTTGAGCAACACGTAAGTTTCTTGTAATGAGTCTGCATTCCGAATGAGCGGTAGAATAAAAAAACTTGACTATTCAAAAGTGCTTATATTAAGTTTATTTGAATAAAGATTATTTCTATTTCTAGATTTTAAAATATTGCGTCAATACATATTCAATAAATTGTATTTATTATTATGTTTATTATTTTACAACAAACACATGGTATCCGTACTGTTTTTTTTATTAAAATGTCTGATATATTTTTATACTTATTGAAAGGAATTAATTTGATGACTAAAACTTCTAACACATACAACGTAGTAAAAAGTTCCTCCTAGTAACATCTAGTATGTAAATCTTATTATTATAGCACAATTAACTTCTATACGACTCTACATAACTATTATACTACCTATAACATCATTTGCATAACTGCCTCAATGAACGTTACTCCTGTTATCCGATGTCCATTTTCATAGAATACGGATGTAAACATCGTCTCACAAATTGCGTTTATATACTGAATAATCGTATATATTAAGGAAGCAGATTTTCCTCGACATGTGTAATGATCAAGTTAATGTATTTATTTTATAAAAGGATAAACTCGTAGACGAGCCCGTATGAATCTCTTCCACAACTTTCCTCATAAAATAATAGGTCCCTTGTTATCTTGAATTCACGTTCATTAAAGTTATTAATATAAAATGTATATAACAACAAGTTTTGTTCAATCAATTTCTTTTATAATAAAGTATATAAAAATGTTTGAACCTTGATATTTCTCTCTCATGAATTGCAAGATTAAAGCGATATGTCAAAATCTGTTGTATATTTTTTTCAAATTAAATTACTATATTTAATAATAAATATACAATTGATTCATTTTCTTTCACGCTGTTTGACTGCAACATATTGGTGAAACTGCATTTGGAACTGGCCAACGAAAACACCGAAAACAATTATAATTAGAAACTAATTATTGCGTTTGGAAAATGAACAGTACTTGCATTAAATTTAATATGCCTATTTTTATGTATAACGCATAAGAGGCATAAAAAAACTGAATATATGGTACATGTCAAACAAGCTAACGACATATCAAATAGTAAATGATAACCCTCGCATTAATTGCTCATCAGATAACATTGTCAAGTAACACCGGTGGATCTACTCATTCGTTGCCATGGATGACTAAGATACCATGCCACCAAACCTAGTAATTTCACAGTCTTATCTCAATCGAAACATATATTGGCGAGTAGGTGTTTGAAATAGGTGAGGCAGAAGTATCCATGCACAACCGACATAGTATAAAGTCTACCTTGATAAAAAGCAAAATAAAAAAAAATGCGGTTTGCGTTAAAATTCGGTCCGTCATCAATCACTTAGTGGAAACCATTCCTTTTAATAAATATTAGGTCGTCCCTAAAGATTCTATCGATTCCTCTTCTTGGTAAATCCATCGAAAGAACTCAGATTTGCCTTTGAGCAGATCAAGTTGAAAACGGTACATTAATTCTTGTAATACACATCGCATTAGGGGATAATAGAGCAATAATTATATACTGCGCCGACTCCAAATAAAAAATGAGATAAAGGCAAGGCAATGACAATGAAGTTATAACCCTACCGACCACTTCATATTAAATTATAATTGTATTAAAGTTACTAAAACGAAAAATCCGGGCTTAAGATTACAATTACAAGTACGATCTTAAAATGCTCAATTTACAATTCATCTGACTTGCTTTTGTAATGTAAGACCTGCAATAAAAGGTAACGTAACACGTCTCATTAGCGAGGTCGTTGCTACATCGTTAACTCAAGAATTCTCTTACAAGTGTACCTCCTACTTTTTAAGTACATATAAGTATTCCAGACTTTATAACAATCGAATGGAAGACATAATTATATATATTCTCCTATATTAAATGTATCTGTATGTAAAAAGGCATCTGTATTGTTTATTATTATCACATAACTTATATATCTAATAACAATAAAAATCCACAAGACATAAGTACTTGTACATATAAATATCTATAAATCTTTATATTTAAAAATTAATTTTTTTTTTTTTAAATAGTAACTTTATATTGAGATAAAATGTGCTTAAATAAAAATGTTACTTATATAATGCTATACCTACACAGTTAAATAAGAGAGAAGAAAATATAGTTAAAAACAAGTACAGTACATTATTTGAGAGGGTACCAATTTAAATGTCCGGTTTAAAATTTAATTATTAATTATCAATATATAAAATTCATTAAGCATTTACCACAATTATAGAATAAATATTAAAATATAGTTATGTTGTATATTACTGTACATGGCAGATACGTTAATATAATATTAAAAGAGCTACTAGAAACTGAATGCGTTTAAATATTATACATATTACCTACTCAATAGAAATATCAACATCAAACTTCATTTATTTCTTCTTATTTTTTGCTGATATTAACGAATTTCAGCACAAAACCGCAGAATGACAATGTTTATATTTATAGCTTATTTATTAAATGTGGAAGAATTAAGTAATTACATTTCTATTGCTTATTATAATATATTTCTTTCTATGCTTACCTTCCAACTTCAAGCGGATATGGAACTAACTCGGAACAAAAATAAATATACTGCAACTTCCGTAATATATTACAACCTATATCAGCACGCATAACTGGCTAGCAGTTATCTCACGGGGCGAATAAAACACTAAAAGCTATCTCAAAAAGTTTATTATTTACCGTGGCTGTCCCAGTACTAAGTGCAGGTTTATGCTAAAGTTTCACACCAAAACTCTAGTATCATTACTTCAGAGTTTTCAGGCAGCTGCCAGCAGCCGCTTGAGTGACATAATTCTGCAGAAAAACAATCTTACATTCTTTAACAGTCCTTTTTAAACTCACTTTGGGGTATCTTAAGGTGTAAAAACGTTTTAAGAGAATCACTTATTATATTTAATACGTATAATCATAACGAATTATGGTGGCTTCTAAAAGTAGATAGATATAAATATAAAACAAAATAAAAAAGATAAATTTATAAGATAAATTTATAAAATACTTAACTGATTGCATTTTTTTTTCTATAAGTAGGGTCATTAACAGCGAGTAATAAGCTTTGTTCCATTTAAACTGCACCTAGAGTGTAGATATTACTAGTATTAAATACTAACATAAAAAATGTTAGCTAAGCACACTATT